AACCATATGTAGGCTGCTCATTAATTGCTAGGACATCAACTCTGGCCTGATCCTCTTCGGTGGCGGAGATAGAGGTTATGTTGGTGCTCGAAGGACAACATTGTTGATTAGATTCTCTCAACGCCAAGATCCTTTGTAGGCCCGGATCCTCTCTAAGCCTCATGCCTCCCCATCCGAGATCTTCTCCACCCTCAGACCCTCCTTATTGATTTCTAGCCATCGGGAGCTAGCCGGAATCAGGCCGACACTGAGAGCAGAGAAAAACTTCTATCCCACCCCTTGTTCATCTCAGGAATGTTAAAAACTAGTCGGCAGTCACTGATTGTCTGCAAAGTGAAAATAACCCTCAAAATACCCAATCTCAGCTCCAACATTCACACAGTGGCAGATGATGAGGAAGGCCACCAGAAAAGTAATGGAGTTCAGTGCAGCTACACCGATGAAACCCTTAGAGCCCTAAAAACCTCCTGGAGAATTGGGTGCAACGACAGATGAAGGCCATAGTCAAGGTAGTGCCAGTGTTATCAGTGCCAAATCGCTGCTGTGTTGATAGACGGGTTGTTCCCTCGACGGAGCTGATAGTGTAAAAGCGCTGGAGATGTCATAGTCTTGGGCATACTTCTCTAGTAGCCCGTGGGCACATTCAATTTATACTTTTACAGCTGATCAATTCTAGCATCGTTGCAAGCAATAATAGGCTGAGCGTAAGAAGCCATCAGAATAGTCAAGAAAAACAACCGGAGAATAACAAAAACTTTTGGGAGGTAGAAGATGGACTTTCTTTGACAAAATAGAAAGCTTGATAGGATTAGCAAAGTAGAAAGAAAAGGGAAGGAGTGGATATATATAAGCGAAAGGAGCTGACATGTGGCGCAAAAGCGAATGAGGTCTTCGAAAATCGAAGTGACATGTCCCCAAATGAAGCGTCATTCCGTCAAAATTACCGCATGATCTTCGTTGACATAAAAAAACTACCCAAATCAAAATTACTATGTCCTTAAACTAGCCACGTGGTACTTAGTAGACAAGACATATGACTAACTTATCGTCTTCCATAAAAATGCATTTTAAAATACAAAAATACATTTTGAGGTACGTTATCTAAAAGGGAACCTTCTATAGGTTAGTCAAGTTAATCCGTCATTACCGAAGATAAGGGCCAAAAAAGGACCGAGCAGGCGCCGTTGTACCCCCCGTCCTAAAATTCCGTATACGCCCTTCTTGAGTTCCTCGCCCGGTGAAAGTGGTAACCGCTTTACCCCCCCTTCTCTCACTCCTAAAGACTATAGTCCTCCCCTTGCCTATTTACAGTGTTATAACTACTAAAGGCTCTCTCATCCATTTTCTGTCGGTGGGCCCACCCCTCTCCTTCCAAACAGAACCCTTCTTGTCCCCTCCTCACAAGTACGCTTCGTTCTGGCCGCTCCTTAATCCTCTCCTTCATTGGCACCATCGCTTTGAAATCGGGGAGTCCAATAATCCGATTCGAATTCGAGATTTTTTTTTTTTTTGGTGCGAGGGTTTTGGGGAGCGATGGGGTTGATCTCGGGGTTCGTGATGGGGGCGCTGGTCGGGATCGCTCTCGTCGCTGGATGGAGCCGAATGATGACGCATCGCAGCACGAAGCGAATCAGCAAGGTTTTCTTCTATCGATTTTGTTTGCTTGCGTTGACTGTTTGTTTCGATTTGGTTCTAACTGTTTATGAGTTGAATAAGAACCATAAATTCTTCTTTATTCATGGAGTTCGATGAATCCGTTGGTACAATTAGTAGAAACTGAGTAATTTGATTGAACTGATTGGTTCCGATTGGAAATTGAGGTTGTTTGGATTGCTTGAGTTGCTAAACCTTGGAGGATTCTGGGAATGGGAGTTTGCTTTCGCAGGAGGTTTGGTATCTGGTGCTCTTCAAGCACTTGGAATACTATCTTAACTCCAACCAATGTTTAGTTCTTATAAAAGTATCGGTTTTTGTGTTTAAGAGCAGGCTCAAATCTTTCCTGCTTTGGATATTGTATTTATAGGCAACATAGACATTTGAATTTGAATTACAAATATAAAGAAAAGAACTGACGTGATTTCATGGTTAGCTAGGAACTGGCCAACTGGGTCTACTTGAGATAATCGTGCAACTACTTTATATTTCTTGCAATCTGATATTGTTGCAACTGCCTTCTTGAGATTTTCTTGTTTCTGAGGTACGGTCAGCTCCGACACACCCCTGCTAACTTAATGCCGGGGACCTGACGGTGAGTTTGGGTCTGAGATTAAGGAACTGATTAACTGGAAGCCCCTTTGTGAATATATCTGCAACTTGTACTGATGAGGAGATGTGCCTGACTTGAAGATCACCTCTTTCGACTTTCTCCTGAACTAAGTGAAAATCGATCTCGATGTAAATAATGGATGGGTGGTGAGTTTGGGTCTGAGATTAAGGAACTGATTAAGTGGAACACAAGATTGGCAGTCATATAGGTTGCCGAAAAATTGTCACTAAATAATGTTGGGGCATCGGATAGAGGGACATGTTGCTCTTAAAGTAAGTGTTGGACCCAAATGGCTTCAGCAGTAGCCATTGCTAGAGCTCGATATTCGGTCTCCATGTTAGATCGGACAACGACTTTTTTGTTTCCTTGAGCACCATGAGATTAGATCGCCACCAAAATAAATGCAAAAACCATAAAAACCATAGTTAGACCTCCTATTGAGTATAATGGGCGGGTGGACGGTCAAATCGTTAAACCTAGATTGAGGCTACCCTTTCGATACCATAGTCCTCTCTTGATAGCCTGTCGACGTAGTTGAGTAGTTTGATGCATAAATTGACAAACCTTGTTCACTACAAAAGCGGGCTAGGTTATGGTGGCCTACTGTAGAGCCTCAGCAACATTCTAATATATTGTGGGGTTGGACTTAAGGGGATGTCGTTAATGAGATGAGTACTGGTGGCTAAAGGTGTAGTTATGGGTTTGCATCCAGTCATATCGGTGCAGCCTAACAAGTCCTGAATATACCTCTATTGAGATAGGAATAGATCACCTCCTAAGCGTGCCACATGAATGTCGAGAAAGAATGATATGGGATCCAAGTCCTTGCGTGAAAAGACTACATCCAAAATTAAAACAAGCTCTTGCAAAAATTTTGTGTCATTGCCTGTTAAGTATTATGGGCATGTTTGGCTAATACTTATTTCTTAAAATCTTAGAATTCACTTATTACTTATTTTTACTTATTTTGCTAGAGGACAAAGTAGTTTTTTTATTATGAATAAGTAAATCTACTTTAAGTGCATAAACATAAGTTGGGACGTCCCTACTTATTTTTTCCCCCTACTTTTAAGGAAAAAAAATAAGTAAATAAGTTTACCAAACATGATTTTGGATCCTTATAATGTAAAACTTACTTATATGTTGAAACAAGTAACTTGCCAACCATGCTTTATATCATCAACATGTTGTGATAAGAAATCTTGGAGTTGATAAAGCCATGCATGTGGAGTTTGTTTGAGGCCGTATAAAGCATTGCGCAAGGGGCAAACATGACAAGAATGGGCCAGATCCCGAAATCGTGGTGGCTACTCTGTACATACTTGCTCAGTTAGGTCTCCATTTAAAAGGCATTGTTAACATTGAGTTGCCTAATTGCCTCTCCACAAAACACTGCAATGGATAGAATCATATTGATGGAGTTCAGTTTGACTACTAGGCTAACTGTGTCAAAATAATCAACACTCTACTCTTGATGAAATCCTTTCGCGACCAAACGTGCTTTAAAACGTTCAACTCCACCATCGGGGCATCTCTTTATCCGGTAGACCCATTTAGGACCAAATGGCTTCATGATAGAAGTATGCATGGGACATAGGAAAAAATGAACCTAAATCTGTATTATGATAGCAATGTCAGATTGCTAATAATTTTTAATCAACCATTACAATTTGCCAATTTAGAAAAGTGGAGACAAAGTTGAGATTCTTCCACCTTTCTTGATCTATTGGACTATGGACAAAGTTGATACTCCACAATTAATTTGTTTGGTGAATAGAAGCATAATAGAAGAAGGTGGGATGTTTGTTGAATTTTTTTATTATTTCACCTTTCTGCCTAAACTTAACTTTCTGATAAGCATAAACACAAAAATTATTAAATAATATGTCCATTCTTTATATCAAAAGGAAATTTTTTAGTTCTCCTGTGTGCTAAATAAGGCTTGTGGAATATGATTTAGTTTCAACTACTATTTTTCAACTTCCATCATTCCATGTGCCAAAATTAAAGATAGAAGAATTTTGGAGAATATTCTGCTATTTTCTTGAACTTCCTTTTAAATGTCATGTTGCGGTTTTCTCCTTATTGATCTACCACCCACTGTGGGTGATTCGGACTGGTGAGGGGTTCCAATATGACTCACAGTCTTGGGTTCGATTTCGGACTGGGTTATAAAAAATAAAAATAAAAATAAAAAATGAGAAAATAAACAAATTCTCCTTATTGATCCCAAACAGTTGGGTCGGGAATTAGTTTTACTTATAATTTTAACTTATTCTTTATTTTTATTATTATCCTCATGCCAATCTTTCCACTCCACTATTGGGTAGGAAGAAGTCTAATAAGCTGATCCCAAATGGATGGGACAAGGAGTCAAATTATGTCTCTCTTGATGTGCTCGTCTTCTATGCCGAAATACAAAAGATGTGGAGCTATGTAGCACAGACACGGATCCGACACGGCCATCCGACACGCCGACACGAGGCAAATCCTAAAAAATACATAGGATACGTGTGTTCGACACGGACACGATACGACACGGCTTCATGTTATGCGTGTCCGTGCTTCATAGATGTGGAGTCCCAAAGTGTGTAACTTTTGGCAATAACCGAATAAGCCAAGATTTAAGAGTAGTAATCTTGCGGCCAGTCATTTTTCTGAAGCATTAAACTAAAGTTGTCTAGGACTAAAGCTTGGTGAACAGCTTTATTTTCCACTGTGATTCTTGAAGGTTAAATTTTGACATAAAATGTTATCTTTTAATTGGTTGAAATAGTGAATTGGTTTCTCCCTTTGCTGGGTGCATATTACCTAGAAAATGGTTGTTATTTTTGTTCCAATTCAAGGATTTCTTTTTTGTAAAATGCTAAACTGCCTCTCTTTTCTGCAGGCCGTCGATATAAAGCTTCTGGGGTCACTTAACCGAGAGGATCTGAAGAAACTCTGTGGTGACAATTATCCTGAGTGGATATCTTTTCCTGCATTTGAACAGGTTGATTCTCAAATAAAGCTTTATTTGTGCGTTATTTAGCCAAATTGCTTACTGCATTTATGTGTGTTGTGTGTGTTTTTTGAGATATAGGACTGTCAATTCACTAAAAATGAAACAGCGCAGATGGATACTATGTGAAACTAATTGACATCATAGATTCCTGCAGTAATTTTGGTTAGACATAGAGCATAAATAACTTGGGAGAACTTCTAAACAAGTGATTCTTGAAAGCTGCTGTTGCCTTGACAAGGGACCCTATGGGTACTTGTAAGATGTTGGACATTTATGCTATCATCTTTATAGAAGAGAAGGGATATGATTCTTACACTTTACTCACTAAACACAGGTGTATAGTACATTGTAGCGCGAGCATAGTCGAATTTCGGATGAGTACTTGTTCAGGGTTCAGACTGGGTTGAGACCAAAAATTGTAGGGTGACCTACACCTGATTTACTTACCAATTCTGTCAAGTTACGTTGTGAAACTGGGAATACCAAGGTTACCCCAGACATACTGCTTTTACTTTTTATTCCCCGATTATATCAAACAAATTGATCTTTCCTAGGTTACTTTTCAGTTAACAGGTAATGAAAGCGTTATACATCAATAATCAGGTTGATGCGTTCAATGAAAGGAGTGACATATAAGGCCATCCTGCAGGAGAAAATTAGACACACAGGCCTTTGCTTCTGGTAAGAGAGATGTCTGGCATTTGTGTCCAGGGAAGCTGAGATGAGTGGAGGTTTAGAAAATTCTGAGAGTGGATATGGAATAACAGATCTGAGAGGGAAACGAAAAGTTTAGGCTTATGAATTTGGATTGAACGTTTAAGAATTAAAGACGGTTCTCTGATGAAATTAGAGTTTATTAAGACATGACAACCTTGAATAGAGGGTTAAAAGGCTAGAGAACGTCAAATTTTAACCACAAAACTTTAACCTACTAATTACATGATAGTGGGGAAGATAAGTTTTACATAGTAATGTTGTCAATCAGAGACAAATGCTATTTGATCTATAGAGTTGACAGGTTGAAGAGTTCAATCCTTTTTCTAACCTCTTTAGTGTTGTAAAAATAGACGGATCAACCTTTTTTTTAAATGAAAACCAAAACAATGTCTCAAGACTGTCTTAGTCAAAGTAATTATGAACATATTACAAGAATTAACTTGCAATTAAGCCTATAAAACAATCATCATCAGCATAGATGGATCAACCTTCTTGAAACCTTAAGTCATTTTGTTAAACACAAAGCTGTTGCTCATGTTGGGTTAGTTGGTTGGATCGGACTGATCCCTAGTTGAATTTAGGCAATATAGAGGCAAACATACTTACTGTTCTGCACGCCTTTAGCAACCAACTTTCCTGTATGCTATTACACTTATATGTATTATATGTATGGACAAATTTTCAAAATCAACTTTTTTAGCATTTTAAATAGCAAAATCGACCTCATTTCCTTTTATTCAGCAAAACCGACCCTTTTCTTCAGTCGGTTTTGCTGTAAGGGATTTTTTACGACATACACGGGACTGCTAGTCCCGTGTATTTCAAAATACACGGGACTAGCAGTCCTGTGCACTTTACAGAGAGCTACAAAAGACTGGGCACAATGAAATGCACGGGACTAGCAGTCCCGTGCACTTTACAGAGAGCTATGAACCAAGTGCACGAGACTGCTAGTCCCGTGCACTTCTTGGGCACAATGAAATACACGAGACTAGCAGTCCCGTGTATTTCCTGCACATAATGTGCATGTATTTCTGTTGCGGGAAAATTCCCTGTACAAACTCATTTCAAATGCAACAATCATAAATTACACCATTGCATAAACACATATATCAATTCCCTATACAAACTCATATGTTAATTCCCTGTATAAACACATATATCAAATCTCATATGTTAATTCCCTGTATAAACACATATATCAAATCTGAAAATCATAAAATACACCACAAACTTACAAATCCAACAAATCACGCCACAAACCCACTTACAAATCTAATAAGTCACACCACAGTCTCCGCTACAAATCCAAAAACATCTATTGTCCTGAAATACGTTTGTAATGTACATATCAAAATAGGATTGTAATTTATATAACAATACCGATTAGCTTATATACATCCAAGAACTCTTCTCCTCCTCCTTTGTCTTCGGCCCTTATATACATCCAAGAACTCTTCTCCTCCTCCTTTGTCTTCGGCTTCCTCCATCCCGACCTTCGATGAATTCATGATCCGGTTGCGTTTGTGGTTGTGACGGTCCAGCTCAGTCGTCAACACATTGGGAAGGCCTAGCTTCATTGTCGTTTCTGCGTCCTCGTCTTTGTCGTGGTTGACGTGTGTATACTAATTGCGGTACCTCTCATCCATCATGAAGGTCTTCATGAGTTCGATGTAAGGCTTGGTGAAGCCTCTGCATTATCGACTGATATATTGATACATGTTTCTGTGCTTCGGGATATGTACTTGCGAGAGATAATTCAAAAAAATCCGAAATGCAAAAATTACTGTAAAATTCAAATTATAATATGTAAATTTTATATTTAATTTTATATTACCTGCTCGAGCCAATTCCAAGCCACGATTTGCAATGGTTTGAACATCATCTATTGCTGATACCTGTAAATTTTTAAAAAAACATAATTTAGCAATATTGAAAAATACTAATAAAAATGAATAAATTTGAAAATACTTACTAATTCTCTCTCATCTATACCCCGAGGCACATATCCTCTTTGCAACTCAACCGGGGATGTGGTCGCATGGAGTATCCATCTTCTAGTTATCCTCCAATACCATGTGTAGTAATCTGATTCCTGGGGAGTTGGCTCGATTTGCTCAACAATACAAAAATGTCTATCATTCCATCTGTGTATATAATTTTGATGCTCAGCTGCTCAGTCCTTTTGTTGGCCTCCTTTCTTCGCCTTTCTCTCTATTTTTTCAACAAATTGCGGAACATGTTGTGCAAGACCAAATTGTCGAAGCACACGGTCCGGTACATGCATTTCTACTATCTCGAAACATATTAGAGGAACTCTGGCTCTCCATATAACTGGGTATTCTGTGCATATCGGGGGTAGATGATCGAGAAATGGGGTGTAGGGCTCTCATTCCATCTACTGAGTATTACATATAATTGTTGCATATCATTAAAACGAAAGTTGATATATAAAAGAAAAAACTCATTTTTATAGAAATGATACCTGAAAAATCTTCATGCGGTCAAGCTCATTTCGATAGAAATCTAACTGTCTAGCCGGGGTCTCGTCAAAACATTTTTGGACATTCCATCTGTGTTAGTTTCAAAATTCAGTACCAAATGAATAACTACAATTATATTTACTACGTTAAAAAATATAATACCTGCATCCTAGTGGAATTTGTCCGTCTAATTGTAAATTCACGCATAGTCTCGGCTTCAAATGCAGCCTCTCTCATGCCCATACTTGTAGTAAGCTGAGACACCCTTTGAGGTTACTATTTTTCATGAATGCAACCTTAGACATCTCTCTATATAGGTACGCCAAAACCGCACTACCCCACGATAACGCACCACACGTGTCCAAGTCCCCGATAAGTGGTAGCCACCTAGCATTCTTGTTGAAATAACATTTTACATAGTAGTTGGTTGCATTAGTTTTTATAGGCTTGAATTTGACCCGATTTTTTATAGACCATTCTCGCACCGCAAAGATCAATGCTTCATTGCTCTCGAATAGGTCGCCTTTTTTAAAAGTGAAGTTCTCAGGCCATTGAAAGTTTGGACCAACATCAACAAATTCAGCTTGCGAAGTATTTATCTAATCTTCATTATGAAACTCGTCGGGCAACGGATCTTCAGCTTCCACAATATCATTGTTAACATTAAATTGATCCATCCAACGAGAATCATCATCGATTCCAACTGCCACATGCATGCTATCAATTTGCATGTCTTCTTCTTCAATATCTTCTGAGTCATCATTTACTTCTTCTTCTACAATTGATCCGGCCGGTAGATCCCGTAACATAGCCCGATGCGTCGTTAAATATAGTACTTGACGTCCCACCAAGAGAATGCCCACTTAAATGTTGTAGTTGATTTGGAGATGTCATAAAACCACTCGACTCATTGTCTAAGTCCATCATCCGAGAAAACTCTCCTTGTGGTCGTGAAACTTGGGCAAATTCTTGAATCGGATACTTCTCAATGAACAACTCAACTGACACTTGCTTCTCCACTAATTGTTTCATGTCATTCAATTCCTCATCGTCGGTAATCGCCACAGCAATAGTTCTACTCTCATTTATCGGATAATTGAAGAACACTTTAATTGTATACCATGCTTTATTAATTTTCGTAACTCTGTGTATTTCATTCATCATTCCATCAAAATTTAATGACTTAGATAGCATAAACATTTTCCTTGAACCTCCCTCATACATCGGCATACTATTCAATCCGACGCCGAGGCTCCCATTGAAGAAGCAAATAATGGGTATAGAGTTTGTCATCGAAGCTGAAAATCAACAGTCCATCATATGTAAATAATCTATTATAACTGGAAATATTAATATTAATTTAAAGTCAAATTTAAAACCCTAATCTCAACTACAAAGCAAATAATGGCTAAATTCCCTAATCCCAAATCACATTATTCATGTCTAAACCCTAATCATGGTTAAACCCTAATCTCAACTCACATTATTCATGTCTAAACCCTAATCATGTCTAAACCCTAATCACATTATTCATGTCTAAACCCTAATTCCCTAATCTCAACTAAATACATTCCCAAATTTCAACCTTAATCCCAAATTTCTTAAAAAATTTCTTGCAGCAAAACCGACCCTTTTCAGAAGAAAATGGTCGGTTTTGCTGAATAAAATGAGATAAGGTCGATTTTGCTATTTAAAATGCTAAAAAGGTTGATTTTGAAAATTTGTCCTATATGTATATAATCCGTTGACATGTAACTGTTAGCTATTTAGCTGCCAGATCACACTCTGTGTGTCATGCGTTCAGTTGGAAGTAGCCGTATCTTCTCCTATCCTAGAAATCACTAGAAAAGATATAAAAGATGCCAAGAAATAACAATGAAGGCGAATGTTCTGAAATACAGAATTGGTAATAATAATAGGATACTAAGCTGGGAGAAATTTCAGTTTTGACTTCAGACTTTAATGTAAGTGTAGCCACTTTTGAGTTCCAAAGAATAACTAGCAAATATATACTTAGAATCCACATGCAAAGCACATGCAAAATTTTTGTGAACAGAGATATACACCATGAAATGAATAATCTGGGAATAAGATGGACCATGTTTGTTCATCACATGAAATAATGACTTATGTAGCCCAAGGGAGTCAGTAGGATGCATCCTCAATTATGGTGCATGTGGAATCAGAATATGTTTTTCTGTGTTGTTACAAGCAAGTTCATTGAAGTTCCATAGTCAAAGGACTCACTTATAAAATCATAACAACAAAGACATGTATATTAGTTTTAAATGTTTTTAATATTCTGTGAAACAACTGCAATGGACTTTATTTGATAATCAAGTTATTTTGGAACACTGCAGAGGAAATTTAAACAGATGCCTTAGATATTTATACATTGTTCATTTTGGTCTTTGTATCTGTGATTTTTTTTTTCAATATTTTGCTTTTGTTATATCAATTTTTATGGCTAAGTCAAAAGATTTTGGATAAATTCTTCATTGTTGTTTATCATTTTATATTATATTTACTTTTTATTTCCCTTTTTTACTTTGCTGTGCAGGTGAAGTGGCTCAACAAGCAACTGAGCAAACTATGGCCTTTCATTGCTGAGGTAAGATGTGTATCTTTATGCTTGGTAGTTACCTTTGCACATTGTTCTGTTTACCCTTGTGGGACATTTGGCGCAAATTTCTTACTTTTCACTTTTAGGGGAAGCTATAGAACCGTAAGGCCTCGAGAAAACCCTAATGCAAGCTTACTCCTGCAAGTATATTTCATGCTTTACATCTTAGTTTTTAGCATGTTATGTAGATGACTCTGGGTTCAACTGTCCAGGGACCATAAATCAATAGAAAAATCCTGAACTATGCAACACAAGCTAAGATTTGACAGTTAGGGTATGGTATGTATATGGTGCGGTTCAATCCCTGCTCTTTCTATCATTTTGATATTAAAAAGAAGAAACAGCCCTCAGTTAGGCTATTTTACGAATATCACATTGAATGATTTTACTGAATTATCCAAAAGTGGTTCTCTTACCTAGACACCATGGTTTTCTCACAACTATGTTACCCGGGTACTTCTACCATGAAGCCGTACCTGTACCCAATATACCTGACACTTACCCGTACCGAAGCTTCATGGACACTCCTTGAATATATGCATATATTTATTCGGACATGTACTAAATTATATGATATTTATTTAAATTTAAAATACCTGTCAAGTTCTTCTTGGATGTATGTCCTACACTTATGTTCATTTCCTGAAATTCATTAGACAAGGGTCGGGTTTGTTTCAGCCTATGTCTGAGTAAAAACTATGATTTAAAAGGATCATTTGAGTGTTTAATTAAAAAAAAGTAGTTTCCAATTTATAATAATCAACATAATAAATAAAAACTGTAAAATATGATAGAAATTTAAATTCAAATGCCACATGAATTGAAAAATAATAATGATCTCATGTAAAATATTAATTTCAACTTATAAACGTAGCAGTGTCCCCGTACCCTACATTTCACAAATCTGATGTGTCTGATACACACACCCTCACCCCTTCCCGTTTCCATGCAACTTAGTCTCACGAGATGTGTTGCCTTGGCTTTGGAACCAACCCAAGAGGGTTGACATTATGTTAGTGACCTACAACATAACTTGTTTGATTTCTTTTCCTGGAGATTTATCAGCTGACAGTCTTGCTCCAGACTGGACCTGTTTTTGATGGAACGAAGCTTGAAGCATGGTTGATGACGAAGATGATGCAGCTATTTTCATGATTTCAATGTGAAATTTTCTAATCGAAATACTGTATATCATTATCAATATGGCCTGTCAAACTATCTTTTTCATCCCAATGTTTCTTATGCACTTCGAGATCCGTTGAATATCAGAAGTTCTATTTATGCAAGTCTAGCCATCGGTGGACAAGTGCTCTTTACTAATTTTTCTGTTTCTTTCTTTGGTCCTAGGCTGCATCAATGGTCATTAAGGAATCTGTTGAGCCAATGTTAGAAGATTATCGTCCACCTGGTATAACATCACTTAAGTTTAGCAAACTCTCCCTTGGATATGTTTCACCAAAAATTGAAGGTTTGTCTCTCTCCTCCTTGAAAATTTACAGTATTTTTCCTCATTATGTTGGTTATATTGCTTTATCTTCAGTTTTTATGACTGTTCGAATCATGTTGCCAAATTTAAGGTACACTTTGATTAGCTGTAATGGGTATGATTATGTTTTATGATATACTGATTTAAGTTGTATGCTACTTTTAACTGTATATTGTGTGAAGACCACAACCTTAATTGAATTGGTGTATGGGGTTTTTGATTTGAGAGCATTACTACTGTCATACGGTAATCATGCATTATCTTTTGTGTGCTGACACAATAGAAAGATGAATAAGTAGTTGAAGGCATTTAAAAAAAATAAAACCAAGGATCATGAGAGAATATTAAATGGAAATTTCACTGTTTTATGTAACCCCATGAGAGGATGGGAAAGAGAGAAACTGGAGCAGTGTATAGTTATCTAGCTTAACTTCTCTAGCTCCATCATCCTTACATATATGTTTTTCCATAAACGAAGTAGTAAATGGAAACATGGAATGAATTTCAGTCTTATAGATTATTGAACATTTACAAGAAGGGCTAGAAAATAAGACAGCAGGATAAGCACAAAATAGAGATGAGCACTACCATTTAGATTTTTTACGGGCTATATCTTCTTTCTCAATCAACTTCAGGAAACTTAACATGGTACGTTTTTTTAAAATTAATTTTTCTATGCAGTCAAGTTAATTCCATTGTATTTCGTATGCTATCTTAACTTGATAGATTGAGTAACGGGAGATGTGAAAGTGTTCCTACAACCTCTTTCTTGTCAAACTCGATCAAGGTGGCAAAGTTCCTCTAGTTATAATTTCATTTGTTCATTTAATTGGTTTCTTGCATCTCCATGTCCTGCTACTGGTGGTTTTGATTTTCATGCCGTTCGTCCTAATACATTAAGTTTGTTTACCAGACGGAGTACTTCAACTTGGAAAATACACCAGCTATCTTGTCCACTTGTGTTTTTTCATTATTTTTTGCATATTTTACATACGGATTTCTAGATTTGCAAATTTGTTTATGCCTCCATTATTTTCTTTATCCAGGCATTCGAGTGCAGAGCCTTACGAAGGGTCAAATTACAATGGATATTGACTTGAGATGGGGTGGAGATCCAAGCATAATTCTTGCAGTGGAAGCACTTGTTGCATCATTGCCCATTCAGGTGTTTTCTTCTTCGAAGTTTGTTTTCAGATTTATCTTCGTGTACCAAATGTTTTCTTTTTTCTTTTTCCGAACCATTTTTACTTGGATCACTTCCATCTTGACATCTGTTGATGGGGAGAAGTCTACAATTTTATTCATGTTACTTTTCATTCTTGCAAAAGTTGACCACAAATAATTTCTCTTGTTTTGCAGTTGAAGGATCTTCAGGTCTTCACTGTGATCCGTGTTATTTTTCAGCTTTCTGAAGAGATTCCCTGCATTTCTGCTGTTGTCGTTGCTCTCCTATCAGATGTATGCTTCCTCAGAAGTTAAATGCGCAGCTGAAACTTTGCTATCTTCTACTTTTTCTCAATGCTGTTCACTCTTAATGATAAGTATAAGAAATACTGAGCACGTGTTAGTATAGATCTATGATCTGGTAAAACCAAACCTATTGATATGGTATATCAGTAGTTGCTGATCAAGGTTCACGACAAAAAGTTATTATTGTAGATTAAAAAAAATACCCTACCCCCTGATTTCCAAAATTTTGGAAATCAGGGGTAGGGTATTTTTTATGATTCTTGTTGCCATCCTCTTCCTTAAGGGCTCTTTCTCAGTTATACTAGCCAGTTTCATATCTTTCTTTGCATTATAAAGATCTTATTGCTGCTAAGTGAAATGCCATCTGTCTTTATTGCATGTCCATACTACATCAAACAGTTCTTCCTCACGTCATTCTGAATGGCTTAGAAAGAATTACTTGGGAGAGTATTAATAGCAAGAAACAGGTTTTCAGCCAAAACATAATAGGGTGACAATGTAATACATGAAAACAGGTTTCAGCAAAGCCAGGTGAAAAAGCCAGAAACTGCATAGGAGGTAAGAAAGGAAAAGATAAAATAGTGTTATTGAAAAATCTAAGAAAAACTAGATTGATCCAGAAAATAATTCTTAACGTCAGACAGAATCAAGGAAAAAGAAAAGTAAAGGAAGGGGGATGAAGAGAGAAAGAAGCAAAGGGATCTGACCCGAATCACGTCAATTTTCCATCTTTAGGTTCTTGGGGCCTCCTTTGCGATCCCAAATGTGGTTGTGCCACTTTTCCAGGCTTGCAGTTAAACCCATATAACCTGCCTTTCAAGTCTCCAAATGGGATCAATATATAACCTGAGGTTCTGCACAAGCACATTTACATATAATATCCTGCTGATTCAAAACTTTGGTGCTACTTGTATACAAGTTATATCCACACTCTTATTTCTCATACTATGATGCAATCATACTTTTAATCATATAATCAGATAGTAAAATAAAGAAACATCTTGCTCCTTATCTCTATAGCTCAAGGATATTACCATGGAATTTTTATAGCCATTGTGATTTGTGAATTACAACATTCCTTTATACATGCCATGTTGCAGCAAATCTTTAAAGTAAATGATAATGACAACTAAAGTAGAGTCTTTTGTGCCAAAATGTTGTGTTTGCTTACATGAATCTTTTCTCCTATTCAATCAGGAACAAGCACCTCCTCTGTTAAGTTTGCAACTACTGTATCCTTTTTTGGCTATCTCAAGCATTTGCAGTGGTTCTGCCTACTTTTTCAACTATGATTCTAATGATTCCTCCTAACTGGAACATTCACTCTGAACCATCCAACACGATTTTTTCTCATCTCATCCTCCCTTGGAGTAAACTCTTAATTCTAAGAGAAGTGTTTGTTTCTTATGTCATCTTCTGTAGTCTTGCTGTTATTCATCCAATATTCTTATTCAATCATGTTGACTTTTTGACAATGTTGATTCTTAATTTCAATCACTTTGGTCAACCATGTATTACTGCTTATACTGTTATTTTATGGGCCTTTGACTTTATAGGCATGGTCATGCAATGTTCTAGGAGTAGTTCTCGATTTGAACCATTCTATTTATTAACGGCAGACATCTTAATGTCACTATCGTCATTGATTCTGAGTAAGAACAATGATCATCTTTGATGTTTCTTAGAATTTTAATTACACTTATTTCTTCTCATATGTTTTTCAGTAGTCTCGATTTTAACCATTCTATTTATTAACGGCAGACATCTTACTGTCACTATCGTTGTTGATTCTGAGTAAGAACAATGATCATCTTTGATGTTTCTTAGAATTTTAATTACACTTATTTCTTCTCATATGTTTTTCAATAATTGCATGTCATATCTTCTGGTTTCATTATGCCAATTCTCAGTCATGCTTCATATTTCTACTTAGAGATCATACAAGCCCCGTCTCTATGCTAGTTGAACTTCAAAGTCAAACCTGTACTCAGTAAGAAATGGTTGACTCTTATTTTTTCTTACATGAATAACTATTTTCATTGTATCTGTCCTTAATGCACTGGCCTAGCTATTAGATCCTGATCGTTTCTTAAAACCTTAGGCTGAGGTTTTCTTAGCTAAGGAAATATGAACAAAAAGGTTATAGAGTCAGGCCTAGTGATGTAATATGGCTTGCAAACATCTGCTCCCTCCCTCCCTCCCCTCCCTCTGCCCCTTCTTTTCCTTTTCTCCTTTTGTCTGTAGATTCCCCCTTTCCTTTCTCTCTCCCTTTATTGGTAGGGTTGTTATTTGTAATTATTAATGAGAAACATCCTGTTATAGATAACCATGCAACGTAACAAATCATCTGCCTTGCAAGAATAAGCGGTTATTTCGTAATGGTGTTTGAGTCAATTTCTTCATGGTTCCATATCACGCCATGTGAATGGTTTTGGTCTTTTGACTTGACATCAAAAGGTTTCATCTTATGTGTTAAAATTTTAATACATGAGTTAGTTGTACTTGACGATGTAATAAATTTTGTAACATTAGTTTCATCAGTTACCTGCACCCCTAATATTTTACTGCTGCAGATTCCAACATTTTAATGTAATTTGTGCACATTAGTGGTTGGTATGACATTGACATGGTTGCCTGTTTTCAGCCAAAGCCTAGAATAGATTACACTTTAAAAGCTGTTGGCGGAAGCCTGACTGCTATTCCTGGTCTTTCAGATATGATAGATGTAAGTTTAATTTGCTACACTGCATTTTCCATACGTTTAGATTCTGTGTTTTATTTGGGTGCAATTGAGCTGGTTAATAATCTAGTGCTCAATGTAACCTCTTTCATATAGGACACTGTAAATTCAATTGTCTCAGACCAGCTGCAATGGCCTCATAGGATTGTTGTCCCACTTGGCGGTGTAGATGTAGACACGAGGTAAGCATACTGCTTCTTTTTTTTTCCTTTCCCTTTTTACTTTTGTACTGTTCAACATAGTAGTGTGTGTGTGTATTTATATATATTTATATATATATATTAGGGTTTTTATTCTATTATTCTGTATCTCATATATTAAATATATTACTTTGTTTCCTTTTATTATTATTTGTCAGAAGGAGAGTATTCTCCCGATTGTTGCACAGATATTTCATTCATTCAGTGTTAGTAACTTTCTATAGATCATATTTATGGTCTTTGGGCTAAAAAATTATATGCTATCATGCAATAGTTTCATATCAAGATATAGTAAATCCGTTTTTGATTAACGAGGACATGAGATTTATTGGTAATTTGGGTCCATAAAATTATTTACGATATATTATGAGATTGGGATTCTTACTATGTAATTGACCTGCTTGATTTATACAAAGCTCACTAGCTCAGATGAAAAAAATATATAATAATAACAATAAGAAAATTATATTTTTGTTTTTGCAGTGAACTTGAGCTTAAACCGCAAGGAAAGCTTACAGTAACAGTAGTGAAAGCTAATGCTTTGAAAAATAAGGAAATGATTGGTAAATCTGATCCTTATGTGGCTTTGCATATACGCCCCATGTTTAAGGTTAAAACAAAAGTGATTGACAACAATCTCAATCCCGTATGGAATGAAACATTTGAGTTGATTGCTGAAGATAAGGAGACACAAGCTCTTATTCTTGAGGTATGATCTTCATTCAATCAACCTCCATTTGTTTTGTGATTTACTCATCTTAGTAAACTGTTCTGTTGTAATTACAATTCTTTTCTGTTTATGATGTTCTTCACATTTTAGAACTTAAACAGAGGGTAATTTAAATCTAAATGACCTTGGTGTTTCTTTTTCTGTTTCTAATTCTCTCTCTCTCTTCCCTTTTAAGGTGCTGCACATTATTATTCCTAGGGGTGGCAAACGGGGCGGGACGGGATGGGTCGGATCATAGTTGACCCGACCCGTGTAAGTGTGACCCGACCCGACCCGTTTAAGAAACATGTCAATGCTACCCGACCCGTTTATTAAAGGGGTTACCCGACCCAACCCGTGTAACCCGAATAACTTGTTTATCATTATACATACGTGTTCTTGTTTATGATTATTCATTGATGCAATAAGTTTGTTTTTTCATTTCCTTTTCTTGTTTATGATTATTCATTGATGCAATAAGTTTGTTTTTTCATTTCCTTTTCTTTTCTTTCCCCTTTTTAGGTAAATGCAATTAGTTCGTTTGGATACACTTAATTATAATTTATAAATGTAATGCCTCAAGATGAGGGAAGAAAGGCTATGCTTCAATAAGAGGCAGATGATTTCAGCATCAAAATCTTTATTATGAATTACTTCATCAAGACAGTAGCTGAACAAATGCAACATTGAAGAAAAACACTGAAAAGAAAGTTAGATGCTACTATATTGACCAGAATCTTAAGCAAAGTTCTACAAATTCAGCTCAGTTCTAATTTAACGTGAGAGTCCAAAGATACAACATCATCATAATTGCAAGAAAACTAATCAATTGTACATCAGCCCAAATATACAACATGATTAGAGTCCAAAGTTACATGTGGTTCACTAAAGCAAAGAAATAACACTAACAAATAATTGTAGCAGCAACTCAACAATCTTAAGGGTCCAGATTGTTGAGAGCAAATGCTATTATTCCTGTCCAAGGAAACATATTAAAACAATCAAAGAAAGAGATTTGCTTACAAATAAACCAAACCACAGAGACTTCATAGATTTCATTATTTCAACTAATGGAATTTTATATTAAACCAAAAAGATTTCATAATATAAGAACATAAAATTAATAAGAGCATAAAAAATGAACCAATATGCAAATTCACATAAGCCTGTCATAACCCAGGGCCACCTTGAATTCAGCTCATAACCAAAATTATAGATAAACTTGCATTTTAACTGAATACATCTGAAACCTTTTCAAATATTGAGAGCAGCCCCAATGAATAGTAATTCTTCTTTCTATTCATACTTTATAGATTCACTTAAGATATTTCTAAGCCTTTCCATTATTTGCATATGGTAATATTATATTATTTTCCATCACATAAGAAGTGTCCAAGTCATAATTAAGACATCCCAAGTGCTCTAACATTATAAAATTCGGGAAAAATTTTGAGTATCTTGGTAACATTGATCATAACAGTGTAATAATTGTCTTGATCAATTTAAATCACTCAATTGCATTTTGTATGAGGGATCCAAGATCTAAGATATAAATATGACAAGGAAGATAAGGTGAAACTAATATCTCATTTGTATAAGATATAAATACATGCAAAAATATTAAAAACTACGAGCTATACTAATTGTTTGAGAAAGCAATTACCCTCAAGACATCAATTCAATCTTGATCAAAAGTGTCATCATACCAACAAGAAGTTCCCTGCTTACTTGATTTTTCCAAGTTCCTTCTTCTATCAACGTCGAAATTACTCAAGTACTTAGTAAAGACAGAGAAAAGCTTGTCGTTCACATTTTTTAGCTCTGTAGAATTGTGTCCATATAGTGCATCGTAGCATAACTCCACAAATTGCATTTTGTATCGGGGATCCAAGATGTAAACAATAGCAAATAGAACATTGTACTCACTTTAATATTTCTCAAATTTCTTGTACATTTTGGTTACTATTGATTTAGCATATTCGTCACTATCTTTCATCCCACTCTTTAGAGTACGTTGCACAACAAACATTTAAAGAAAGTAGAGATTAGCCTCTGGATAAGTTGTACCGGAGAAAAGGCAAGTGAAGTTATAGAAAGTGGCTAGTAACCTCTTAACGTTGTTGGCATTATCTCATTCCTCTTGAGATGGACAAAGTCTTGAGAAATTTGAAACATTCAATTGCATGTGTCTAAATGCACAATTGTAGAATAAATCACTCTCAAGCATTAGAAAAGTAGTGTTCCATCTTGTTGGAACATCTAGCCTTAATTCTTCTTTCACTTCCAAAGGTTCATGAGAGCACATTCCCAAAAAATTTGTTTTCTAATTTGATAGTCTTTTATATACTTGACGCTTTCTCGGACTATCAATACAACCATGAACTTCTTTTTAAACCATGTACAACATCTAATATGAAAAAATTCTTCTCTTTCCAAGAAGTGCTTCTTTCAAATTAAGTTGTTTCAATAAATCAACAAAAATATCATTTGCAGATGCATTATCAAGAGTGAAAGAAGGCAACTTTTTTTTTTATTTTCCAATCAACTAACAACTTATTAATCTTTCTTGCAAATGGCAACACCAAGGTGGCATATAAGTTAAAGGACCCGATTTTGTAATTTTCACTCATAATCAATATAGTATGTCGTGAGACAAATATATCTGTTGGTGGCTGTAGATGTCCACAAATCGAAAGTTCAGTTAATTCTACCCTGAATCGACTCAAAAGCTTATACAACTATATCTAATACAACTAATTCAAAATCAAGATAATCTCAGCCTCTGCACGGCCGACTTAATAGACCGACATCTCGCGTAATCGAGACAAAAGGCGGTACTTGTCGTCCAAACCTGGTCCGACTCACTGTTTGGCCGACATCTCGCATAACCAAGTCAAAAGGTAGTACTTGTCGTCCAAACCCGACCAATTGCCCATGCGAATAACCTCTACTCGGTCCGTTGTAGAAGCCGTTAACAGTTGTAGTCGACCATTAGCTGAACGAATAAAAGAGTTGGTAGTTTTCTCGAACGTCGCGCCAACATCCACCTATCCTTGCATTAACTGCTCTGACAAAGTCATTATTTCTCTAGTCAACAAAGTCTTCATGACTTATCAGGCTATCGTCAGCACCAAGCAGTTGCTATCGCTTGGCACTGACCATTTGGATGGCCCATCTTCATCACCGGCCAACACCTGTTACCTGTCTACCGACTCAGCTACCTACCTGGACTCAGCCAAAGTTACCTTCTTGCCTCTCAGATCCACTATAAAAGGGAGAGGCAATGCATAAGGTAACTCTCTCTGAACTTTTTTACACAACTAAAAGCTAATTCTATATTTTACCCACGCAAGATCATCTCTTGACTTGATCGTCGGAGGAACAACTGGAGAACTCAACTCCGTCCTCTTACAAGTTCTTTCTTGTGCAGGGAAGAACATCAAACTTCAGAGCTACACATCAGAAGGAGTTAGAGGACATTAATCACTCCTCCAACCTACAAATTATTCCTTATTTGATAACTGACATCAATAGTTTGGCGCCTATCGTGGGGCCTTCTTTCTTCTTTGGTCACGATGTCTGGTTTTGAGCGTAGGTTTGTCCATCCAGCCCTTGAAGAACCACGTACGGGTTACATCACTCAAGTCTAGCTGGAGGGATCCGCTCAGCGCATCACACAATCCTTCCAGCATCAGTTTGCGACATTCACTAATGGACTTCTCCAACCTGCAAATTGTTCCATGTTTGATAATTGACATCAACGATGGTCAACACTAAGAGCTCCCTAAACTTATCCAGGTCAAAATTAAATCTCGAAGAACCCATTATGGATCTTTGAGTTAGATGCTCCTTTTTAGTAGCTTTTTTACAATTTTTCATGGGCCCTAGCATGTTTTTTGTCCCATGGTTACCTTCAGCGGTGTACTAGATTTCACACTTCTTACATATTGAATATTGTTTCCCTCCCGGCTCCGTTGTAACAAGATCAAACACTTTCCGAGCTTTGAATGTTAATTTTCTTTTTCTCTTTTTGTTGATCACGCTTTTGTGTTTTTTTTTAGAGAATTGGATACTCTTCTAATTCTTCTTCATTAGATGAACCCACTTCTAAAATTATCCTCTATGTATTATAGGTAGGATTGGACTCCATTAATTGTGAAAAAAATACAAAACCACATAAGTTTCATAGAACCTATAATTACGACATAAACTATATGAATGTGCATATTTGATGTTTGTTTGCTCTCAAAATAAGATCTTATAGCAAAAGAAAAGCGATCAGTAAATTAAATACTAAAACTATAAATTGTTGTATTTATGCATTAATTTCATCAAAAGTTAATTTACCTAATTCACATGCAACACTACTCTATGCATGAAGTAGTTCCATTCAAAAATCAAAGTTAAATAATCAATCGGAACCCATAAAGGTTCAAACTTTAATAGAAATTTGAAGCAATCATGAGAACCCGATGGATCTTCAACTAGAGAATTGAGGGTAAAAAAAGAAAGTTAGAGAGAGAAAAGAAAGTGATAGAAATAAGAAAAGGAGAAAGTTAAATGAAAACTTACAGCAAAGTTTCAAGCTCGCACCCCCAACGCTCACCGGTCGCCCCTCGCAGCCGCTCCATGACGCGCGTCGCCTCTCTCCACTTGCGCCGCTTGCGTGCTAGCCACCACTCGTTGATCTGTCGCTTTCCACTAATTGTTGTTGTATTGAGCTCCGTTGATAACTGGGGATAAAAGTCTAGGATTTCCTTTTCTTTTTCTCAGAGCATTTCTGAGAGAATTGCTCACACTTTTGTGTAAATGGGTCAGCGTTGAGTTATATAGGTTAATTCAGATCAACCCGAACTGATCATAAATGGGTAAATTTAGGTTGACCCGTTTATGACCTAATCCATATAACTCAACCCATACCCATTATAAATGGGTTGGGACGGGTCATAAATTGCCACCCCTAATTATTCCCATACGATGAACGTGCACTCTCAAGTAAGCTAGAAGCAAGACTATGGTTTCATATTATTTTTTTGTTAATTAATTAAGGTGTGACTTTCGTATGTCACAAGTAAGCTAGAAGCAGGACTATGGTTTCATATTATTTTTTTGTTAATTAATTAAGGTGTGACTTTCGTATGTCTCAAGTAAGCTAGAAGCCATGACTCATTGACTATGGTTTGATATTGTTTTTTCTGTTGCATTTTCATAGTGACAACCTAGCCTTTCATTGTGTTATAAAAAAAGCAATCAATACTTGGATTTGTGTAGGTTTTTGATGAAGACAATCTTGCACAAGACAAAAGATTGGGCATAGTCAAGTTACCGCTGATCGATTTGGAACCTGAAACTACCAAAGAATATGAGCTTAGATTGATGCCCTCACTGGATATGATGAAGATTAAGGATAAGAAAGACAGAGGGATTCTCACTATTAAGGTCAGAATTTCTATTTCTTGAAGGAATTCATGGTTCATCACTTGCTACTAGTTTGTCTTGTTTGTGATTCAAAATATCATATCCTTCATGGTATCACCAAACTCCAAACTTATAACATTGCCATGGTCAATTGGTAACAGAGCCGTAATTACATAAACTGATAAAACAAACGTATCACCATCTAACACAATTCTAACTTAACATCCAATAATAACGTATTGTCTAAAAGTTGGAGGGAATATATTTTCTATCTTCCATTCTTACCCTTTATTGACCTCTTTTGTTTTTTTCACAGCGTTGGGGTTGAGGGTATTGTTGGAAAAATATGGCCCAATATTTAGACTTCACTGTTCATTCATCTTTTGCCATTCGTCACTTTTGCTTGGGCAAATAAGAGAGTCAAAGATGTGATGGGATGGGGAATGGGCCTGAAATTTGAAACAACAAAGACAAGAGACTCTATTTATAAAATACTCCCCTTCTTAGAGCTTCTCTCTGCAATCCTCCCTCTCTCTCTTTCTCTCTCTCTGGGTGGTTTCATTTCTAGGTATAATTCCCCACTATAATTTTGTTGTGAAATAATCTTGTGAATTGATTTATTGGTTCATGCAATTTGATCTTCTTTAGGAAAATACACAAAGGTTAGGGCTATGTCCTAGGAGAAAGACGAGGAAATTGTAGTAGAAACTCTGTTCATGCTTCTTGAGAGTGAGAGGAAATAGAATGATGCGGAGCAATCGCAGTAGGTGAAGTAGAGAAATTGGTTATTAAGCAGTATCTCAATGTTCTATGAACTTTTATTTATTTCCTTTATGTTCCTTTTGTTTTTCAGGTTATACCTAGTTATTGATAGAATGTGCTCATCTCTTCTCATACACAAACCCGTCAAGAACAAATCCTTAACCAACTCCACTCCAATTCATGATGCCTTTGATGCGAATAAGCTAATTTTAGGACTCTTTTGGACCTTAACCTTTATTTTTATTTTCGAATAGCTTGTTGGAGAGTTTTAATTTGAAGTTGCTTTAAAGATTTCAACCGGTCATTTGTTGCATTTTGTTAATAATAGTTCGGCTCCATACAATTAGAATAATATCATTCCTGTTTGATAGTCAAGTAAAAGATTGAGAATAGTATTATCATTGTTTAAACTCAAATCAACAAGCATTATCCCTTCTACAGGATTGGTCTTAAATGTCGAGAGATACAAAGTTCATCGATTTTTCAGAAGCCATAGTGAATCAATGATTGTCGTTCTTGGTCCTTCAGACATCATGAAATACATGGCATGAGTGAAGAAAATTTATTGTAAGACACATGGAAATTTTTATTGACCTGTAAAGACCTCTCAACACCCATCTTCAACTGAAGAGAGCTTTTAAGTCTATATTGAAACCAAAATTTACAGTTAATTCCATCTTAACAAACTGAAACCTGTGTTAAAAACTTAAAATGTTTCAGGATGATAACAAGATTCACTTGCAAATCTCTCTTTTGGAAGTGCGAGTTAATCTACCAACATATATAAATTTCATTAGAATGGATGTCTTAATACACCAAACTGAACCCATCCATTTGCATGATTGTGTATGGATGTCGTGTGACATGTAAATCGAAGTAAGATTCTCAATATTTTTCTTCTGGCAATAAATGACTATATCTCAAATGATAGCAGCTGCCTTCTTAACTTGGTTTCTATTAAAATAGTATCTCATGTTAAATTCCTTTCAACATTCATCATTATTGAGATGAAATTATTTCAGAGAAATGTGTTATACAATTGTTTAACTATAATTTTAATTTTGCTCTTTCACCTGCATCGCGCGGGGGTTAATTGCTAGTATTACAAAATAGATGCAAAGTCTAACCTTCAAACTCCACTTTAGGATTCTGCTTAATGTTTTTTATCTGCATTGCCGTTGTATTCATGCCTCAATATTAAGTTTATATCGTGGCTTCGCCTCAGCAGGCAGTTTTTTCTACCAGTAATATTGTTGTTATTCACTGCTTCTTACTGTCTGCGTCAGCACTTTGAATCGTTGTCTGTTATAATCCCCTCTCATTTCTGATAATTTTTTGTAACTCAATTTTGCAAGTGCATGTTGCACCAATTTACACCTAGCATGCAAGTAATTCTATGAACGATGTTAGACTTAGTTTTCATTTTTCCAGGTGACATACCATGCGTTCAACAAAGAGCAGCAGCTAGCAGCACTCGAAGAAGAGAGGAGAATTTTAGAAGAACGAAAGAGATTGAAGGAGGCTGGGATGATTGGGAGCACAATGGATGCGCTCGGTGGAGCAGCATCCTTGGTTGGATCAGGTGTTGGGCTTGTGGGAACCGGTGTTGGCGCTGGTGCTGGGTTGGTGGGGACTGGATTAGGTGCAGTTGGAAGTGGAATCAGTAAAGCTGGTAAGTTTATGGGCAAAAGCGTCACAAATCAATTCAGCGGTGCTCGTAGGAGTGGGAGCAACATGGACAGAAATGAAAGCTAAGCGTGAAGCTTAGCTTGCATTAGGGTTCTACTTGGGTTATTTGTGTGTATGATACGTGTTATATATTTACGAATGGAGATGGATTACTGTTCTGGTTTTCTGATTGCTTTAGTTCTGATTTGGACCTGTGCGAAGACCGTTATTTCGTGGTTTTGGTCAAATTCACCACTCAGAAATGGGAGCCAGACGAAGATGCAATCCATCAGACCTTCAGTTAATACGAATTGTTGTTGACTATGTAATGTGATGTAAAAAAAGATCCTGTACAAGAACCAGGACAAGTGATAAATGTATTTCTAAGGTTCTATTTTATTTTATCTTTACCAAGAAAGTGTTTATGAACGCCGTCCTTCTGAAAACTAGGAAGATGCCATATTCTCTGCGCCAACAAGTTACCGTTTCATTCGGATGTTAGAAAAGATAAGACCTCTGGCTGTGAGCATACGTTCAATGACGTTATATATGGACAAATTTTCAAAACAAACACTTTTGGACATTTAATTGCAAAATCCAACCTATTTTGTATTTATTTGCAGAAACCGACCTGGTTTCAGCCTTGACACTGAAACCAGGTCGGTTTCTGAAAAAAAATTTACGAGACTTTACGGAAGTTTACCATAATTTTAAACTTCACGGGAGTTGAACTCCCGTGAAGTTTAATTTGTCGAATAAATTTCACAGGAGTTGAACTCTCGTGAAATTTTTAACATTCAACAAATTAAACTTCACGGGAGTTCAACTCTCGTGAAATCTGTTGTAGGGGTGAAAACTCCACGGGAGTTGAACTCCCGTGGAGTTACAGTCCCCAATTCCAGAGCTCATTTGTCTCTGGTAATTTTTTCCTGCAACTCCACGGAAGTTGAACTCCCGTGGAGTGTTGGCCTGACTATAAAAGACGCAAGTCTTTCGATCCTCTAACAGACTTCACGGCTCCTCCTCAAAGGAAAACCCTAGCCCCTCTCTCTCGTCCCCAACCTCAAACGAAAACCCTAGCCCCTCTCTCCCTCGTCCCCAACCACCACCGCCGTCGACCAAGGCCCCCACCTCCGGCGCCGCCCTCGTTTCCTACCGCCTCCGCGCCAGTTCTCATCCCGTCGGAGTTTAGCGGTCTCGCCGTTGTTGTCGTCGGAGTTCACTGCAAATTAGGGCATCGACTAATTGAAGGTAATTTCTTCTATTTTTTTCTTTATTTCTTGTATATTGTCACTAATTCATGGTGATCTCATGTAAAAAATTAGATTTTAGAAATTAATTGTGTTAATTGTGAATTGTTGATGATTTTTGTGAAGAAAATTAATTGTGTTAATTCTAAGTTAAATTATAACAATTTTTTATTGAGTTGGTACTTAATAAATTGTTTACCTCACAGGTCCGTGCTTTTGATAGCATTGAGGCTGATATTGATACCATCGTGCCTGAGATTCAGGATTCGGCGGCGTTAGGACTCCTCAGTAGGATTAAGAAGACAATAGCGCAGGTGTTTCATAAGACTCACGTCGACGAGCTCGCAGGCCGTGAGAATAGGTCTCGATCATTTGGGCAGGCGTACACTCGGCGCCGACGGCCACGTGACGATGACGCCGGCACTTCGCATGCCGATGGAGCCGGCACTTTGCATGCTGATGGAGCCGACACTTCTCAGCCTCATACACAGCCGGATACTCAGATAGTTGAGGCTCATCAGCAGAAACGCGGGGGCGGGGAAGAGCGAGGGGGAGGGGGAAGAGAGGGAGAGGAAGGAGAGGAGCTATATTGGGTTGTATTTGAACTTATTTTGTTAAAATTTGTAACTTGTATGAATTTTCAAATACTATACTTTTGTGGATAAATTATTGTTCATTTATGTATTCTTCTTGAGTATTGTTTGCTTCATGTGTGTTTAAATCATATATATATTGTAGTAAATGTTGTTAACAGGTAAATAGTTATATATATGAGTTAAAACAGGTAGATGTATACAAAACATGCACAACCTGTTGTGCATGTTTTGTAAAACCTGCAGCTTCACGGGAGTTCAACTCCCGTGAAGCTACAGTCTAAATTTCCCAAAGAGCGATTCTCTAAGAAATTTGGCCTATAACTCCACGGAAGTTGAACTCCCGTAGAGTTTTTATACCTCTAATAGACTTCACGGGAGTTGAACTCCCGTGTAGTTTGTTGAATGTTAAAAATTTCACGGGAGTTCAACTCCTGTGAAATTTATTTGACAAATTAAACTTCACGGGAGTTCAACTCCCGTGAAGTTTAAAATTATGGTAAACTTCACGGGAGTTGAACTCGTAAATTTTTTTTTCAGAAACCGACCTGGTTTCAGCGTCAGGGCTGAAACCAGGTCAGTTTCTACAAATAAGTACAACATAGGTTGGTTTTTGCAATTAAATGTCCAAAATGGTTTGTTTTGAAAATTTGTCCCGTTATATATTATATGTTACACTCAACAAGCTATCTAAGCGTTCTACAGACTTGTAATTGACATGATTTGGGTAGATTCGCTATTCTCTGGTCAGATAGGAAGTTAAAAGTTTCAAACAAAAAGAAAGAAACCAACAGTGGCGTTTTTATCGTTTCTGTTTTTTTTTTCAACAAAAACAAAGAAACGCGCTTGGTAACCGGGACGTTTTTTTGACTTGTCCCTTTACAAAATCTAAAAATTAAACACTTTTGTCAAAACACTAAAAAGGTGTTTTAAGATTTTGTTTTTTCATCTAAGCCGCCGCCACACGCGGTACGCTACCACTCGTCGCCAACTAGCCGGCCACCGCCGTCGCCCGCGCCACCCTCGCGCCCGCCGCCCGGTGTCGCGGCCCGCTCGGTCGTCCGCATGTCGGCGCCCCGCCAGCCAGCGCAGCCGGCGTCGTCACCAACCATCGGCGCCAGCCGCTCGCCCTGGCCCGCCCATCAGCCGCCGCCAAACACCCCTTCCCAACCCGTCGCCGCCACCGGCCACTGTCGGCGCGCCCGCCGGCCACGCAGTCGTCCCGCATCGGCCCTTCATCGGCCGACCAACCGGCTACCGCGCGTTTGCGCGCCAACCGCCACCCGCCGTTGCCTGCGACCACCACCGCCCGCCGGCCTGCCCGCCGCCACTCGCGCAGCTTGCCACCACCGTCGGCGCACGGTACCGTCGCCCGCCGTCGCCCACCCGTCTGCACTCGTCGGCTACCCCGCCGGTGAGCTACCAGTCAATCGTTGCCTCAGCGTCGCTACCCGCCCGGTAGGCCCTACAGTCGTCGTTTGGCTCGTGCGCGCCGTTCGGGCCGCCCGCCGACCACGACCATCACCTCACCGCAGACTCGATGCGACCGCCGCCGCCGCCGCCCGCCCACTGCCGCTATATAAATGGTCAAACTAGTTTGACCAAAATGGTGTTTTCAAAACACATTTGAAAAATAAACACAATGGTATGGTGTTTTTTATAAAAACACAACAAAAAAAAAACACATTGATTACCAAACAAGTAAATATGTAGTCTAATTGTATGCATCTTCCGTACAAGTCCAAATTTTTCAAAAGTAGCTCTTAGTAAGCATAAAAGGATTCCCACCTCCGTGTTCTAGGAAGGGAATGAAGGTAACATTCAGAGAGAAAATTTTACACAAATAAATAAATAAATAAATAAATAAATCCCCAGTTGGAGTACTTTGGAGGACCAACCACTGAAGCAGAAATTGGCTTATTATTTACCTCATTACCTGACATTCTTGGCTCTCGACGGTCATTCCATTCAGTAATTAATTATTCATATTCTTAAGTTCTGCCATCCACGGAGAACTTACACATTCATATTTCTCAGGCTTACATGAGTCGACGCTTATTACAGTTGCAGTATTACGCGCGTCATTCGCCCAAGAATATGACCATACAATAATAAAACCAACCAGCCTACCTTGATCAGAAGCTCACGAAAAAAGAGCAAACGAAGAATCCAGGGAAAAAATAAATTAAGCTGGAGAAAGGTAACATTTCGGTTTGACTGACTTTAAGGAAACAATCTAATTACAATCTCAACCATATCTGAGAAGCCGATACATGCACAAAACAAACGATTATTCACAATAATATCAACAGAGCGCTAGTAACATAACACCAGGAACGTGCTAAAATGACCCTTAATTAACTAACCTTTGTCCACTTGTATATTATACACTCATGGGCCCAATACCGGCCTGGAACTCTGTGATAATGGAAAGGATTTATCAGTACTTTCTTGTGGTTTTATTTTCATTTTCCTCGCCTTATTCACCATGTACCAATAACCACTGTCACTCTAGATACAAATGAATCGGAAATTTGAGCAGAGATCAACCATTGTGCTATTTAATCATCCTCATCGGTCAGCAACGCAAATGAGAATGGTGCGAACTTGTACCCATCTCCCTCATAAAACTTGTTCTGGAACTCCACCCAGTGAAGCCTCAAGGCATGTAAGAAGGCACTGAGTGTCTCCATAACAAGAAGAACACCAATGGTGGCAAAAACGAACACGATCACACCAATGATGAGAATAAATATGTTGTTATAGCTGAAACACAAAATACTAATTAGCTTTTCTGCTGTAGACAATAAACGACACTGTGTATATAACAAAAACAATTATAAACATATAATAGAAACAGGTGATTTAATATAAATAGCAAGGCAGGAACCCCCTACAACTTACCCCCAAGCAAGAAGAAGAACCTTCTCATAAAACACGGTAGATAACTCTGAGTGAGCAAGACTGCAACAAAACATAAATCCACGTCAGGATACTAGGATACTAGTTACTGGAAATATAAAGCAGAATTACTGGAATTTGTAAAGAGACAACAACGTGAAAGTAAAGTGAAGTAATTATAAAGATCTAAGCATTTTAATGTGACGCAATAAGAGGCACTACATCAAACTAGCAGATACTCAGCCATCCATTAAAGTGAAGCAATTATAAAGATCTAAGCATTTGACGTGGCAACCTAAAATTCAGAATGGAAAAATGTGATGCAATAAGAGGCACTGTATCAAACTAGCAGATATTCAGCCATCCATTAAAATTTCCTCATCTATGTCGTAACAAGGTCTCAAGATAATCATTCCATTAGCATAAATGGTGCTTTCCTTTCCTTCACACTATCCATTGCTAAAAAGAATTTTTCTTGGGTAACCCATACCTTAGGGCCCAAAGCCGGAGGTAGGATGCTGTGTTTGAAACTGCTCCAAGTACAAACTCAATTGTGTGTATCAGCTGGTGGACGAAAACTTCACTAAATTCAAACTCTTCATCATCATGGGAACCATGATTTTGCTCCTCAAGCACGTCAACATCAGTACTTTGAAGCGGGGCATAGGACTGGCCGTGGTGTCTCTGAAAGCAAAGAATGTGCAAGATCAATGCAGGTACAGGATTATGAGAAAAAAAATTCAAAAATATAAACACATACTTCTTGATGTTGCTTCTTTAGGAGAAAAGGCTTCGGTAATAGCATCCAGGGAACAGAAATAAATGCTAGCAAGAGTAATACAAGCTGGCAAGATTGTAACAGAAGTGAGCAGGTTCACTAATGTATTTTTCGGACTACATAATAATCAACATTGCTCTTGACAAACCTGGAGCAGTTTCTGAGTAGGAAATAGCTGGTTTTCACCAAGATCATCAGTTGGGCTAAGGAACATATATATCATTACATGATAAAGATCCGCTTTTGAACCAGTGCACCATTTAACAATAATGAGTAGTGAAAGGTAACCAAACAGACTGTTCAAAAAGATCAACTGAGGGACAAATTGGTACCTGCAATAGAATACGAAGAGAAAAAAGCAAAATGTGCATTATATACACATTAAGAAAGAAGAAAGCAGGAATTACATTAATAAGGAAGGAGAAGTAACTAGAACTTCTGTATCAAAATTTCAGCATGAAATGGAAATGATAAGAAATCTTCATGTGTTGCAGATTTTTATGCTAAGCAGCAGAAGGTAAATATTTAAGCAAAATAATTAAGCGGGTCCAAAAAAATGGTGCTCAAACTTAGCATTTATGTTTCCCTTGAAACTCTTGTCATTTTTAGTTTTGGGATAGTATGAAATATACAAACTTCAATTTGCAGATTAATAGATTAAATCTTCTGTAAAAATGAAAGCAAAATCACTAAGTATATACTTATTATCTAGGATACAGCAAATGGGAATTCTGCTTTAAATTGGTAAAAAATCTACAACTGCAAGAACACTATACCTAATCTAAGAAACCACCTAAGGGTACAAATCTATTTAGTGCTATCAATGCCGTCAAATTAGTGACGGTTCCATTAACTGCAAGACCATATGCTATATCTACTTTTAACGAAACTAACGGTTACCCGTGAGTACTTGCAATAGGCACAATACCAGCAGAAAATATGGTAACATACGATACATCATGATTCCTATCCTTTATGGTTTCTTTATTATTATGTATAAGATGGTGTATTTACTTTAATCTATCAATTGTTGGTAGATATACTTACCAAACATTCAGATTGTTCCTGAAGAACTTGGCATTAAAATAACTTAACATGATGCCCAAGTTCATTTGTGCAACACCAAGAAGGATTGACATCTTCATCTTCAAAGAGTTCAAGAATGGTAATTCACTTCGGCTACCATACCATATGGGATCGACACCAAATGGATACGCAGGTCTCACCTTGATTAATCCCGCTGTAGTAGCATCTCTACAATTGATGGGAAGAAATAATAAGACATGTCCATAACATGTAGACTATCTACTACAGGAAAGCATGTAATACCTGCAGGAAGCATCACGGCATGCATAGGCAGATGACCCAAAAATATCAAAGGGAACAGAAAAGAACTCATTGTAGATAAACCCTGTATAAATTGAAAACACAGCCATCATCATAATTACATAGCGACCACCAAATGTCATCTCCATGATATCCCCAAGTTTCTGTTGGTCACAAAAGAAAATGGAGAGAAACAAGGTCAGCTTGGAACTTTAGTGATATAAAACTTCTCAAGGGATATCAAAATATACTGGAACTTTAAAATCATGACTAGAGAACTTAAACCATCGATGAATGAGAAAATTACACTGAGATGAACATCAACACAGGGAATTCAATAGTTGTGTCTTCACAAACTATTTCGATATAGCAGCGAAAAACCATCAAATAACATCTGCAATCATCGGACTCCTATCATAGTGTAATTGCCTATAAAAAAATTCCGTGCACATAGTGTTAAAATTCAAAAAAGGTATAGGTAGATGTGGAGTCTTGGAGTACGAGATAGACATAGATGGACAGTTATACCATCATGTAAAGATGGATTCGCTCAGATTCAGAATAAGGCAGGTGACATTTACATGAATCTCAACTAGTGAACATGCAGAACATGCCTGAAATATGAATTTACTGGATATCTAATTGCTAATCAGACTTAATGCGTGGAAGCTCAATGGTTGCATGTGTTTGGATGTAGAGGTTAACCCAGTTTGCAAAGGTTCATTAATGATAAATGGCCAGGAGTCTGATGTCATGTTTCTGCACAAAACAGGTTCCTAGGAAACATAAATACAAGTAACTACTTGAAGTAACAGGAATTAGAACATGGGCATACTGATGCATTTACTTCCAGAATATTTGTATCTAAAATGTCCATATGTTATTGCATACAACAGTAGATCCTGTTACTGAACAAGGTTTGGTAAATTATCCAAATAAATGAATAAATAACTGCCATACCATTATTGTCAGATGATTTTAAACTTTCCGAAGTTGTCATATAAGTCATGACAAGAAGTATGCTTCGTAATACACTTACTTGGAATCCAAATGCCTCAGATCTATTTAACTTCAGCATATACTTCTAACAGGGTTACTGCCAACATCAAGTTTAACTACAATTTTTGGGGGTGCAGATTTAACAGGGTGCAAATTTAACAATAGTTTAATTATCAACAATTCATCACAAGCAAACTCCAACTTTGAAATGTTTCCCTAACTTACAGCAGCTCGGTCACAAAAAAAAATAGTAATGAATTTGAACTTATTCTCTCTCAAATCTCTTTGATTTGGCTAGTCAAATAATAATGCTTCTAGATGGTAGTTCAATATTACAATATCATGCGCGAAGGTTATGATTTATGCTCTCAAGTCATCAACATGCCGTGCTCAAGACCTTGACATATCTGTAATGCTTCATCAAAATTTACAGATCCAAGTACATTTTGATTCACATCTATGTAATGTATAGCATCAAGACAACAATGAAAGAAAGCTCATCAATGGAAAAATCATCATTGATAACCAAAAAATTGCTAAACCATGAAAAGCAGTTAACGTATAAGATTCTCAGAAATCAGAAAATGTGAACAACAATCTCAGACAAGCTGACCTGAGAAGATAGTTTCTTTTCTTGAAGAATGAAATATAATGTAGCAGCCAACAAGCATAAACCGTGACCCCAGTCACCAAACATGACAGCAAACAAAAATGGAAATGTAACAATAGTGTATACACCAGGATTTGCTTCTTGATATTTGGCGATCCTGAAAATAAATCAAATCATAACCTAAGTTAGCAATGTGGAAGTTAACTATACATGATAAATGAATTTATCATGTTGAGGCGTAGGAACATGTGCAAGCAGAATGTGCTATAGTCACTGTTTTTTAGACTTGTAATGCAAATAAAGCCCAGATGGAAACTATACCGATAAATATATATTGGTTATCTACGTTGCCAAGGGAATTAATTAGAATAATAAACCTCTGTAATTGCACTGGATAATGCATGATAATGACTTTTACTATAACAATGGATATTGCAAACACAAAGATCTAAAAATTCTCAGTGTTATGAAGAGATAAGAAGCATATTCAAATAAGATGCATGTCATAATTAGTATCTAGTGCCTGATGGTGTTCCTCAGATAACATCAGGGGTATTCCCTGATGGATGAAGAAGTTCAAGAGAAATGAACACAAACAGAAAGCTATGAACAATATGAGATCTCCTAGGCATTGCACTCATCCAGCTCTAGATGAATACCCATTACAGATGCATGAGTATCTCCCTTAAAGGGTAAGAAGATAAAAAGAAGAGAACCTAGTGCTAAGAATGATATGTAGACAAATGAGACATTATCTCTAAGAATTACACGGATCCTACTGATGTGGTTTACAAAAGATCAACAGAAAATCCAAAGCAAGCTAGGTGAGTGAATATTGTCAATCACATAATTGATTAAAATATTAATACAGTGATCAACTCCGTACGGAATCAGGAAGAAAAAACCCAAAACTTTTAGTGAAAGGCTACAAACTAAGAAAAGCAAAACCGCAAACGTCGGTTAAACAGTTTCATAAGAAAAAGAGTAGGAAAAGGTACTTGTACTCGATGAACTTTCATTTAAAACCAACACTGCTTTGAAAAAAAATAGAGATGGAATATGCAATTACATAGAAACAGTGGAAATTTTAATGGAGTAATGACTGAAACAAGAAAAAAGCTGACTGAACGCCCAAACACAAGAAGATCAATCTTGAATGTTGTTATCCAAAACAGATGATGGAAATAAAGATTAAGCAGGAATCAAAAATTGACCTGTGATGTATGTTTATTTTCAGAGAGAATATAACAATGAAGTGAAGATTAGTTCTAGCAAAACAGGCTAGAATATGATAGAGAGATGAAGATAAGTGCTGGTGAAAACGTTCTACAAGTGTGCCTAGGCGGCCACTCAGTAGTCAACCTAAACCAGACTAGCACCTTTTAAAACATTGGTGAAAATGTATATGAGTGGCTAGTGGGAGGCAATTCTACTTTACAATTGTATAACCAGCAAGATATAGGAGACAGTAAAATGCCAACATACAGCTTGGAAAATAAACTCTGTTATAGACAAATTTACAATCATGTATTGATGAATTCATGCAACAAAGGTTGAGAGATACAGAGTTAAAGATGTGTATTGTTTATAAAGTATATGCATATATTTGGGTCACAAAATACAGGACTTTTAATTCAATTTACAGTATACTCTTCTCTAGGTCATAAGTCTTAACCAGCTGCTGCCAGTAACTTCTTCGTCATTATACCTTGGCTATTGTAGTAAGAATAATAAGTCACTTAATAAGTTGCACATAAAATGATGATTCACAATGGCACAAAAGATACTAGCACCCAATAGATTGAAAAGTAGGTAATAATTGAGGGGAAAATAGTAGTCCATTTCTAACTTTATCGCACTGTATTATGCTCTATCTGTTTGTTTGTAAGTGCAATTACGATAAATAGAAAGTTGAGATTGGTCATTCAAATGCATTAAGCATGGACATATTTAGTAATCCTTTCAGTATTTAAGCACTGCTAATTTTATTGATTATGTTATTATCAATGTCTGACTTTCGTCCCTTGAAAGTTTGAATTTTCGTTAAGAACAAATTTTTACTTCAGCCCCATTTCAATTTTTTTTATTTAAATCGACCCTTTTTTTTATTTATCAAAACCGACCCGGTTTTTTGATTAGCAGCCTAATCACCTTCCTAAACAGTCGGGGTTGGCAACCCCGACTGTTTAGGAGGGTGTTAAACCCTAATTAGAAGCCTTAAACCCTAAAATTTAATTTTTAGGGTTTAAGGCTTCTAATTAGGGTTTAACACCCTCCTAAACAGTCGGGGTTGGCAACCCCGACTGTTTAGGATGGTGATTAGGATGCTAATCAAAAAATCGGGTCGGTTTTGGTAAATAAAAAAAAGGGTCGATTTAAATAAAAAAAATTGAATTGGGGCTGAAGTGAAAAATTGTTCTTTCGTTAATCTTGGTTCATGAGACTGATTTAGATGCTACTAATAGTACCAAGGAATAAATAAAGTAACATTTTCTACAGGCCAACAAGTCTATCAGGTTCATACCTAGTCATAAAATTTGTCCCATTTTTTTCTGGAGCCTCCTTAATGAGTTAATGTAGTGCTGGATTCATGATTATGAGGACTACAGCCTGTATATAATTGTTTTTTTTAATAGTTTTTATTTTCATTTCGCTAAACTTCAGCTTACATTGAACCAGGACTTACCCGTATGCATCCACAATCTCCTGGAAAGCTGAAGTAAATTTGTTTGTCCTGAAATATGTGGGAGGCAATTCTGTTGTATGCAAAACTCGGAAAATGGACCCAACTTGGGATTTGCTATCAAAAGTAGCCCGCTGCAGTGCATCCTGAATCTGCACATATAAGGCTCAACAGAGTGGATATGGGCACTAGGTAACTGATGCTGCAAGTTAAAAACTTCATAAAACATCAACTTCCAATATAAAACATAAGCTTACCTGGTTAGTAGCAAACACAGGGCTCCAGCTCTCAGCAACTAAACATTTTTTTGTCACATCAAGGCTGAGCATGTTCAAAGTGTGGTACACAGACTTCTCTTTCCTCACCTATAACATTAAAATAAGTTAATTAACTAAAATTCATGAACTGAAACATGTTTAGATTGAGTTGCTTGAGACCACAAAAAAAGGATGTTGTAAGACAAGAAATAAACTTCTATAAGAAAAAAAGTGAACTTACCAGATTATTCCACTGCTCAAACTGGAAGCTAATATTTTTCAGTAGATTATCACGGTAAGTCAATCCAACATCGATAGTCATCTTTAGCTCTGAAATTTTTCCAGATACCTGATATTGAACAATTCAATAATCAATCACATAATGCAAACATACTAGCAGCACCATGCTTCCCACACAGGTGAAAGGTCTAGTCTTATAACACCTATTGAGCACAGGAAACAGTATCAAGTGAACTGTATTGCTCATATACAAAAAGTTTTTTGTCCAATGAATAAAAACAAGGAAGTTTAATGAATTGTACAAGAAATGAGACAAGTAAATGAGGAATAAAAACTATTCAAGCAGATTGGATTCCAACTCGAGAAAAAGGTTAAAGCACAAACATCAATTAGACAATGAGGCTATGTTGCATAGACACGGGTACGGGTACGGGTACAGATACGGAACACGGCAAATTTGTAAAAAGTAGGGTACGGGGACACGGCTGTGTATATATAAAATAAATCACTTTAGATCAATATTAAATTATATACCTACTACATTTTCATACAGATATTCATGCAGATCAATGGCTTTCAAGGGAATATCAGCTATATATATAACAATTATCTTTCATGTCTCAACATTTTCTTTTATTTTTAGGTTCTTTCATTGTATTCAAACTCACTCTCAATCTCCCAAATGAAACAAGCCCCTTTGAACTATGTCCTTTAAAAGGGGGAAAAAGAAAAGAAAACAAATCAAACTTCTTTGAAGGTACCCACTGCTACTCTGCTGCTATTTTTACCAAAAAAATGATAAAATTTAATGAGGTATCATGGTTAAACAGCCCCAACTTTACCCATGTGGCACATGATGTCATCTTCCACTTAAAACAAATTAAAAAAATTAAAAAATTTTAAAAAAAGGGGGTGAGACGTGAGAGAGAAGTGAGAGAGAGAGAGAGTTACCCCCATGTGATGCATGATGTTATGTTCCACTAAAGCAATAAAAAATTAAGAAAAGATGGGGAGAGAGAGAACAGAGAGCATTTTGTTCATCTCTTTGCTCAGCCTCAAACCTTAGAAACCCATGGCTAATTTTCTTGAAAAAAAAAAGGAAAACTCATGGCTAGCGAAAATTTCCCGTGTCCACACCGTTTGGGTTCGGATCCGTACCTAAAACATGTCGGACACGGGTACGGCCCCCTACTGACCGTGTCGGGGTATCCTAACAATGAGGCAACATCTTCTTTTGGAGTTTCTTTATGTGATGTCATCAGAACCATCATGGCATCAAACCTTGTCTGACATGGTTGTCCCTACCAATCCATGTTCATCAATCTTTTCTATCAAGGGAAGCATTCAATAACACAAAGCAAATTCTGGATACTCAGTATAACCCTAATTACTTCTCTTCCCTTCTCATTTTAATTGTTAAGCAAAAACAAAAATTATCCCACAAGTGCATTTTTACCTTAGCTACTAGCTCTTGTTAGAGGAAAATATCATGCCCTCCAAATCGCTCCACTGCCAAACTGTTATTTTAAATTTGTATAATTCCTATACTAATTATCATTCACGATATGTGTTCCTTCATTTCAACCATCAGCCTAAAAATCTCATGTTTGTTATCTCTACCTTCCTCAGTTCATTGTTTGTGTGTGTGTGCACGCGTGTCTGAAGAATAGTGTGATGTATGAGGATTTTAAACTTCTGACCTCTATCCATGCCTTTTAACCTATTAGGTGCCTCGTACACCAATTGGACTTCATATGAAGATTCATATCATCTTACCCTATTTCTAAACTCCTTGTCTTGGGAAAATAGGAGGTTGCACCTTTTTGTATGAGCTTCAACTAGATAAGAAGATGCAGGTCTACCCGATTGCGAACTAGCTATTTAGGATTTATGGCAATGCACCACACACTGTAAAGGCAAAATCAAAACGCATATGATTCGTTTATCATGTTATCTTATCACATTCTTGGCTCCATAGCCGAACCCATTTATATAGGAAGACAGCAATGATGATGACCATGAAGGTTTGTAAGTCACGAACAAGCTCATATTTCCAGTTGATATGTAATTTTGTACTAACTCATTTGAGGCAATTCCATTGTATGGTTAAAACTGTTTGCTAGCATTTCTACTAATTTCTAACTAACTCTAAAGGGTGAAACACGAGAAACAGATTGCTTCAAAACCAACTATAAATCTAGTAGCGCTTTAAGATCAGCTAGAGAAAGGGGGAAAACTATTACTGTTTTCTACAATGGCGAGGTCTCCAAGACAACCTGTTGCTTTCAAGGGGGAAGCTGCTTTTGGCTAATGGATGTATCGGCAATAGGCTACCATAATCTAACTCAATAATTCTTCTACACTTGTTTTCTTCAGACCGAGTCTCCATCTTCAAGGTTTGGTTCTTGATGGTATACATCGCACCAGATAAAGTATACAATACCAAATAGCATAGTACTTCAAAAGAAAGTAGCGTATCTCGCAAAGTATATTGGGGACAAGATAATGGATTCGTGAATGTTGATAAACTTTTAAATAAAATGAAGCTTACCAGTACAAATCAACAAAAGTAAGTAAATTTCTCACACAAACCTCATTAATCATCTGCATTTGCTTGCCTACATCCTCCGTAAAAGGGTAGCGATTTGCTCCAAAAGCTTCGCATATCTTGAGAATCTTGGATTTTGCTCTTTCTCCAGAGTAAAATATCACAAAGACATTTTTGGCAACCTGCCAGGAAATATATTTAAAACAGAGAGCATTCATTCGATAAATGCAGAAAATAGGAATCTATATTGATTTCCACTCATATGCACTAAATGAAAGAGTGAGTACAAATATAGTAGGAGATTGACAATACCCTGAACTAATAAAAGCCTAAACTGTAAGTCATATTACTATAAAAAGTATATATGTTCATCAACATTTAAGGCAGATATTCTACCGCATTTCCCTATCACATTGCAAAGAAGATGCTTTCTCAGGGGATGCATAAGCTGCAAAATAAATCTAAAGGTAGATGAATATTTGATATAATTTAATATTGAAATATACAAAAGAAACATAATGGTGTGCCTGATGGAGTATACAATTATTACTAAACAAGTCCAAATAGAATATCAAAACAAAAAGCATGATGACTGCAGGATAATTTTTCATGATTTACTGCAAGAATAAAACGACTTAAAAACTCCAAAAATGTACAAAAGAAAATGCATGAAATTGGACATCTGAAGATAAATCATCACCTCCAGAAAACTCTATCCTTGCTCATACTAGTGCTTGCAACAGGCTTTATCACAACAACACAGGTCTCTCTCTATCAAGGAATATACATTTGTGTCAGATAGGAAAGCATGTGAATTCCTAGGGGAATGGTGGTAAGATGTATTGAGATGTGAAAAAAAAATTGTCCAAAATAACTTGATTTAAGAAAGTTCATTATCACTTAGGAAGTTAGTCAAATTAAGAGAGAATGAGGGCTTACTAATAGTAGGTTTTGTTTCACAAAGCAAATATCACATATCTCAGAAGGTCATACCAGCTGCTTTACATAAAAGTAAGTGGTTCACAATAAATGGTTGCCAAGAAGGTTAACATATTTTTGGAGAATATATTTGAACAAGTTTACAACAAACTTGAGAGAACAAGAAATTCCAGTGATGAAAAGCAAAGAAAATTATGTATGGCACAAATCACTTCAAGGAGAAAATGAGAAAAAGGGCCAACAACTTTAGTATGGTTCAGATCTCAAATATAGGAGACGTAAATAGACACTGCTAAAAAAATGCAGACTAAAAGAGTTATCATTCAAATAACATGAATAAGCTATAATTAGTAAAAACCATTTGATAATTAAGCATCTCGTGTTATTTCTTCTAGAATAACATTGGAAGTAAAGAAATAACCTTTTCTCCTGAAACCGGGTCTGTGACAGGTTCATCAACTATAGCTTGTTTAAGGAATATGTTCCCCCGGGTAGCACGGAACAGAATTCTTTCAAAAACCATGGACTTTTCTTTTGGTACAAGGCCACTAACAAACCCAAGCTTTACTTGCTTTGATGGATCACTTAGCATTTCCTGAACAAAGATATAATAAGACTGCTATTCACAGAAAAAGGAAAGAAAAGAAGGGGAAAAAACCACTTTCATGAAGTTGAGTAGATCAAGTTCAGAAGCATACTTGCTCCAATAACAAAGGACTTTCAAGACCACCCCCTACCGGCCGAGCCTCAATTTCTCTCTGTTGGGCAGTAGCATCACTTTGAGCTAAGTGAAAAAATTCGCCAGCCTGTAAAATGACCAAAGCGATCACCGGTTTGATATGCAGAATAAAATTATGCGAAACAACATGTCCTTAGTATTTTGCATTCAATTTCTTCAGAAATCTACTCGATAACACTGAACTCGTGAAAAAACAGAAAATGCTAGAATTTTTGCCATTCATTTCATACTAGGTACAAAAGATCAAAGTTATTGTAACCTTTATGCAATCCGTTTACTACATAGAATAAGAAAATGAATAAGGATCTTGAATATAACTGTATAATGCAAGTTTAGTGACTAAATCATCACTTATCAAGTACATTGGTACTGAAGAAGCCTCAATTTGTAATAGACACAATAGCAAGTAGCATCTCTAGTTCGCAACAACCTCCTAATCCAGCATTTACTCAGTTGCAAACTTTTTGCACTGAACTCTCACATAGGTAGAAGTTAAAGAAAGGCTGAAATGCAGCCAAGTAAAGCATTTCTGAACCAAGATCGGAAGTATCAGAAGATGGATGACTGATAAAGAGACTTGTACTCTTAACTTAGCAAATTCATATATTGATTATTTTTAGAACATGCAAGTACAAGACTGTTCTCAAGCATTGCCCCCTGATTAGACAAAACATTGAGGAATAGGCAAATAGCAAGTTAAGGACTCCAGTCAGATACATCAACAAATAGAACATCCTTAAAGATGACTATATGAAAGGATCAGCCAATATTAAACCCAATGGATTGAAAATGATTAAAAAGATTCAGTATGCTGCCTGGAATCCAGCATATGGTCTGCCTAGAATCCAGAATATGGTCAAGCAGAGTACTGCAGTCACTTCAATTCCCAGTATATAGTTGTAAACAGGGATTACTACGAAGAGGGATCAAATTTTGTTTAGAGAAAGCTGTAGCAAAGGAAAAGGGAAAGGAGTCTCTTAAGGTAAAGGTTGATCAATCTACATTGTCAACCTGCAATCTAAAAAGCTTAATCTTTTTAAACTAAACCAGTTATCTAACATGGTGTAATCAGGTCTCAAAGAGACATGGGCATAAGGATCTTTAATTGACAGTTTAAATATGTTCGTCTATCCCTGCCTTTGTAAGAAAGCCATGTTATGAGCTAAAAAGATTTGATGTTGCCGGACGAGCCACAATGCAGGTGCATGAGGGTAAAGGTGGGATCTTTTTGTTAGCCTTTTTAAGTGTGAGGGCCCTGTGGGGATATATGTTGGCCCATGGAGGGTTCTGGGAGTGTATGTTGTGTTTGTTGGCTGGGGCGTGGATAAAGGAAGAGTGCTTGACATGGATCTTTTAACTACTTCGGCAGTAGATAAGTCTCCAATGCCAACACAAACTCAGAATATGTAAATCTCCAAAGCCTGCCAAAGCCTTTCTAGCAGCAGAAGTAATAAAAGATCCTTCTTGAGCTGATGCCATTCCTGAACTTGATAATCCTCCTATTGTTTTACAGAAAAGCAGACATACTTCTACCTATCACCAGGTATTCCATTTCATCTCTTACTCGAATTTACTGCCCATTGCTCTTTTTTGTCTCTGCTTCATATTTCATTCCAATTCCTCGTATAGTAGAAGAAGTCTTATTACATTCTGATAGAAGAGTGAAATATATGAGATGGTTGTTATTCACCAAAGTTACTTTGGAATCTTGTTTATCTGCAACTCACTGTTGAAAAAAGCGGTAAAAAACGTGAAAAGCAGTGGTACAAGCGGAAGCGGGTCTTGACCCTTTCGCTTTGTCTCAAAGCAGTGATATAAAGCGCCATTAGCGGTTTTTGCTTGCAAAAGCGCGAAAAAGCAGCCAAAAACAGTGAAAAGCGGAGAAAAGCGCTTAATTGTGCTTTAAACCTAAAACCCCTCATATTCCAATATATCTCTTTCTCTTTCTCTATCACAAACCCAAAAAACAACCTAGGAATCCAAATCATCCTCCGTTTCCACCACCTCCCACCACCAATTCCGCCTTTAGGAGAAGCTCTTGCCTCCAGCACCTTCTCTCACTGCCTCCAACTACTCATCCGCCACGTTTCAATTCCAATATATATCGTTCTCTTTCTCTATCACAAACCCAAAAAACAACCTATGAATCCAAATCATCCTCCGTTTCCACCACCTCCCACCACCAATTCCGCCTTTAGGAGAAACTCTTGCCTCCAGCAACTTCTCTCACTGCCTCCAACTACTCTTCCGCCGCGTTTCACCATCCTCCACCGTCTCTCTTGGGCTCCACTCATTATCTCCAGCAAGCTCCTTATGAAACTGCAGTCCACTGCTCCCTCTCTTCCACCACCTCGATGAAGCACCATTACTTTGTTAATATTGTGTGATTGTTACACGTCTATTTCATGTTTAGGATCTCTATAAATCATCAAATATGCATTTGTAGAATTTTTCTTGAATTTTTCTTATTTTGAATATTATCCATATACAAATTGACCGCTTGTTTTCTACTTTGATCTGCTTAAGGCCCAAAAAAGCCTATGTGATGCCTCACCACTTCACTCCACGTTCCACTTTCCATAATGCTGCTGCAGCTTCACATGTGTTTGCCATCAACTATCAGAATAGCATGGAATCATGACTAATTAATATGTGCCCTCAATCTAAAATTTAATTGGTTAAATTTCTGGTTGTGAAGTGGACTCAATCAATCACTACTTCCAAATGCCTCATCATTCTTAACTACTGCATGGACCAGAAAATTGCTGCAGGAACTTTTGAGTAAAGTGATAAAAGATGGAGAAATCTATGCTTCTTGCAACTGCACAAGATAAACAAGAAAAAGTTGATGAGGAAGAAACTCAATCTGAATGACCAAATCAAGGTCAACAATAAGCTTAACTTGATTACGGATGTACTAACTTGTTTCTCTGCACTTCTGTCGAAAACTTAAAGATATGATTTAGACTTTGGTTAAACTATCCCTAAATTTTTTAAAAGTTGTTCAAGTTTTTGTATGTGTTTATTTGGAGAAAGACTATCAAACAACTCTTCAAAGAGATGTGAGTCTAATATGAAGACCTTTATAACAAAAACTTAATATATCTATAGCTTTTTAAATTCCGGAACAAACTTGAGGACACCTCACCGGTGAGATGTCGTAAAGGAACTAACATAATCACCAGTAACTCTCGGTTGTTTTGGGGTACAATGAAATTCTGGAAGGCATTACAATCACCACCGTATATTTCTATAACACAACTATCAAGAATAAGTATGTTTTCCTCTTTAACTCTGAATATCCAAAAGGGTTCATCCCATCTTATATGCAGGTTTGTAAACTCTTTTTTTAAAAATTCAATTAATTTTTATCATTTTACATCACATGAATAGCAAGTACCACATTCATAACCAAACACCATAAGCAAACTCTCCTAAACAAACTCTCAGACATAATCAGGTGCAGATAGCTACCAGTCAGACTTCCCCATGATAATCAGCGGAAAGGTCACGCTTTTAACCTTTTCTTTAATCAGCATTTGGCAAAATAAACATTTTATCCAAATGCTTGAGCAAACAACATATGGGCCAGCAATGTTTATCAAGAAAATATAAATATAAGTATATAACCCTTTATATCCCCCATTCGACCCATATTGAAAGCCTGGCAGAATAAACTGAGATTACAGAAGCATTTAAAATTTAACAATGAATTGGAAACCTCTTTAAACCTGCTTCTCCCCATTCATGTCAAACAACGACTTTTCGCAGAAGCTTGAGCTAATGGTTTGTGGCAGCTTTATGTCAAGCAATCTTAATCCATATACCAATTTACAGATTCTTGCTTTCAAATTAGTGAACACGATGGAATTGCTTGCACAAAGGCACCAAAATCATCACAAATGGCGCTGGAAAAGATTAAGACAAATTTAATTCGAACCTAACTTTCAACTGAAGAATTTTAAAAGGAAAGAGGGATAAAAACTTGGTATGAAAATGGAAACTTCATATGTGAGTATCAAGAATATCTTAATATAAACTTTATTTACTACATATGCATTATATATTTGAAGCACAAATTTCCACTTCTTCGGTTCTTCCTATAAGCTCCAGCAGCTCAGACATAACAAACTATTAGTCCTGGAATATTGATCATATTTTAATATATAATACTAGAATACCAAAACATTAGAAGACAGAAGAAAGCAATGAAGTTTCCATGTATCTAAGATAGCATTAGCAAAGAACGGCTACAAACTTGAGTGTATCAATTAGTAAACGAAATAAACAGATACCTTTTGAAGAACAAGCATATATTCCAACAGCTCATTATAAGTCCGTTGCAGCTTTTCATTATTTGCATTAATTTCCATCAGCTCAGATTCCAGTTCTCCGAGCCTTGACTGTAACATGCATATGGGATGACAAAAGTTTATGAGACATAAATCATGTAGATACTAAAATAATAAATAAAAGCATATGAAATTTAACTGGATCAAGTCATTAATAATATATGCACCTCGAGGTCGTCAAAATCTATATGGTTTATAGTCATGGGCATTGCTGAAGGCAATATAGTTGCTTTTGTCATTTGTTCTTTAAAAAGCCGAAGTTTCCGTGCCATCTCACCACATCTTCTAATCTGTACATTCAAGATATCAGTAAGACACAGTGTATCCAGGAGTCCAATTAATGAACCAGGAGATTTGTCAGGTTTCGTAGAATTTTGAAACTTGGTTCTTGAATGTGAGCCTTTAGCAGTAAGCAAGAGGCATCAATGTACATAAACTAAAGTAGAGCATCCAAATCTAACTTTTGAAGTGAGATAGGTAATGCAGTTGCGTGCTTGTCAGCATGATAGTAGGATGAGTACAGGGACACAATCGTCTAGACCAACAAAACAATCCCTATAAAATACTGCTCAAGTGCTACTCTGTGGCGAAGAAAAAATTATGATATATACTGAGAAATGGTTAACTACATGCGCCTGCAAGCACGCACACACGAACTAACCTATCTGAACCTGAAGAAATCATTTGAGAATAGATAGTTCCATCTTGTGAAGTTTGAATTTCCTTCATGAAGATGAGTTTGTAAGCTTCTGCTACATCTATTTGGTTGAGGACAAATTTTCGCATTAGACCTTTAAAAAAAATAATCACCGAAATCCACCTATTCCCAAAAGTATTTATCAAAATAGACCTAGTTTCCGCCACGTTGGCTAAACTCAAGGTTTTAAATGTCGGATGTCGGGTTCATGTCGGATGGCTGAAATCCATGTCGGATAGCGGAAATCGAGGATATATCGGGGGACATTGACTAAATATCGGATTGTTATATCGGGTAGTACGCATATGTATAATATCATGTCCTAAATATAATCTAAGCATTCATAAATTCAATATAAGCATACTTTATAAATTCTATACACTAAACATATAAAAAAGTAAATAATATATGGATTTTGGTTCATAAATTCTTTTTATCGGGTTCATAAAGAAACCCTTAAACATGAGAACGGGTCAAACGGGTTTGGGTATTTATCACTAAACTCAAACCCGATAACAAAAAACAGATCTTTAAAAAAAAATACCATATCGGCCGATTTTTCAAAGCTAAAAAATATGTCGATATGCCCGATATGACCCTGATATTTCCGATTTGGCCCTGAAAACCGACATACGAGTTGAAAACGTCCATGTCGTGTCGGCCAAGCCCTCAAACCGATATGTCGGCCGACATGTCGGACATGTCGGACGACATTTAAAACCTTGGCTAAACTAGATCGATTTGGATAAATATTTCAGGAACTATGCCAATTTTGAAAAACAAATTCATACTCTACCGGATTGGGAATCCCGTAGAGTTTAACACACAATTTAACTCAACGGGATTGCCAATCCCGTGGGGTTCAAAAACTTTTTTTTTAATCTACGTAGTTATGCTGATGTGGCTGAAACAAAGTCGAATTTCATAAATATTTTGCAATTACGTCGAAATTGTTTTTTTTTTTTTGGAAAAGGCCTATTTCAAAAATATGTCCTTTGGTTAAATATAGTGTATGCTCATCTTAACACTTCAATATTGAACTATGAAAAATACATGATTCTGTCAGTAAGCTGCATGTAACCTTAGTATGAAAAACGATTCTACATCTCCTTATACAGATCAAAAGATTATTTATATTTTAAAAGTTAAAAGTATTATGTAGGTTGTCAGATGGAAACTTGACACCTAGGAAGCACACAACGCAAGTACTGCTAACATAGGAAAAGGAGAATGCAAGGTGGAATACATACAGAAAAAAGAAAGAAAACAATATAAGGGGACAATGTTGGGGAAAGCTTGCTTAAGCTCTTATTTCCTCATGCCCAGCTTTGCACTTTAGCCCATATAAGCTTACAAAGATTTTTACGCTACAAGAAAATCATTTAAATTTTTTGTTCATTTCTGTAATTAAGATTTTATTTTTAATTTATCATTGATTTATTAGTAATACAAGTATTTAGTTTCCACTATTTTCTTTATTTTATTACTTCTATTATTTTTTTTAAATATGCCTTCCTTTTCTTTGTTTTATTTTTTTCGAACTTGTAAAAAGAATGTGTGTATCTGGAAGATAAGACAGTGAGAAGGTAACAGAAGGGGTCAAAATAAGTTAAAGGAATATATCACAAGAAAGAATAAGGAACAAATATTGCTTTTGACTAAAAGAATAATTAGATGCTCGGGCGTCCTATTATACTTCTATCTTCAGTCACGTCTAGGGGTGCCAAACGGTTCGGATATATCTGAACCGATCCGCATCCGTATCCGAACGGATACGGATATGGTAGGGTAATATCCGCATCCGTATCCGAACGGATACGGATATGGTAGGCTAATTTTGAAACCGGGCGGATACGGATACAGATACGGATATGGTTTCGGATTTTTTTTTCGGATATGGATTCGGTAACGGATATGAAGGTTGCGGATACGGATATCCGCAATGTAATAGTGATTCGGGTAATCGGGTCTCAAATTCATAGTTACAAACCCGCTAACCCAAAACCAAAACTTAAAACAAGAAAACCCTAGGCCCTCCCCCTCTCTCATCAGGCCGCCTCTCTCCACTCTCCAGTCCTATCTCGTCACCCTCTCTCTCTCTGATTCAGCTCCCTCCTAACCCTGCAATGGCGGCCGCTTTCGCCTCCGTTCCCGCCACTTTCCCTCTAGGATTCCGGCGTCTCCGCTCCCCCAAAGCCATCTTCTCTCGTCCCCCATCCCCGCCAAAACTCCCAACAGTTTCAGGTGCTCTCATAATTGATAATCTAACAAATTTCTGACTCTCTTGTAGTTTGTTTTATTATAATTCTATTTCGTATAAAGTATCTTAAACGATGTTATCTCCGGAGAAGGATTGGATTTGGGCCGGGAGATGTTGATATCAATAGATGGGAGTAGGCGTCACTAGCAAATCTATCAACTCATTGATGCTTGAGGCAGGTATCTTTCCCTTCTGACCACCCCCACCCACCCCCCCACACACACACACAAAAGACATAGGAAGAAAATCCTTTAACCAACTTTTTAGATGAGGAAACAAACAACAGCAGCAGCAGGCAATAATAAATAAAGGTAATCAGAAGTCTTCATGTATGTTGGTGTATTTAGCACCTTATATATGTTTGTTATGCATGTATGTTGTTGTTGTTGTTTGCGTTCTATATAGATGGTTATATTTTAGGTTGTGGTTGTTTCATGCTATAGCAAATTCCATCTTTTTCTAATAGATTGGTTGTAATTCTAATTATACGTGAATATTCGTTTATATCCGTGATCATATCCGATCCGATTCTCAAATATCCGATCCGTATCCGTTTCCGATAAGTGCGGATATGGTTAGTATTTTTTCTTACCGAGAGTGATCCGTATCCGTATCCGTATCCGTTTATAAGAAGCGGATATGGATATGGTAAGTGTCATATCTGAACCGTATCCGCTCCGATAACACCCCTAGTCACGTCCCCTCCTATTGCAATTGATACAAGAAAGGAGGAATGACAATTTTACACAAAGTAAACATGTATAACGTGTCTAAATGAGTGCATGGAACAATTGTACAAAGGGAAGTCTCATGTCCATCAAAGCAACCGTCATTGCAAAAGTCTTTCCACCCGTGAGTGTTAGCTGCTCACATGCAGGTTCAACCCATTGACAACCATGGCAAACAGTACCAGTCAGCTTTTTTTCGAACTAAGGGTGATAATTTTTTTCAATCATCTCGTCTTCAATTGAACATAATTATAAAATCAGAAAGATCTTTATTTAATCACAGTTGGAATTTTTCTCTCTTCAATACACAACGTGCTCCTTAAAAATAAAAAGGAAAATTCATCTCCCAAATAAGAAAAGATATCTAACAAAACCATACTCAGGCATCTCTGTAAAAAAATTTCTCAAACTTTTCTTTTCACTTTTCTTCAAGTTTAGCACAATTTTTCCAGATCCTACCAGTCTATCCAATGTCCTATCATCAAATTCTTAGCCTTCAAATATTTTTACACTCAAGGTGAGATGTCTATGTTCTTAAACCACTTCTGCAAGGCCTTTACTCAAACCAGAGTTGACACGGTAGACATACACTCTCCAAGTTCCCTCACATTCTCTTCATTTATTCCGTAATTTCTTCTTCATGATTCTATTTTCATCTTCGCCTTCCAATTTCCACTGTTCAGATCCATATTCTGCCGTTTCATGCATTTTTTATATTTGAAATACAAGTTTTTAATCTTTATATCTCTCACTAGTTCAATATCATATCTTTCATTTTTACCACTCACCTTTGTCTTTTTTGTTGTATATGCCTCTTCTACATAGCCATCATTAAGGGAATAATTTTATTGCATTATAGATGGCACCCATTCAATAAAGTAATGTTACACATGTAGAATTCACACAAAGAGCATACTTGATGGATAGAAGGATTTAACCACGAATGCAGTATAGATAGTAATGTTACATATGTAAAATTCACACAAAGAAGGATATCTGATGGATTGAACGATTTAACCAGGTATGCAGTATGGATACTTATTTAGCATATATTCAACAGTTTTAGCTAATTATATGCATTCTATAAGCCACTTGTATGATTTATAAGCATTGTCATAATTGCACATCCGTTATAAGGAAATAAAATTTCTACAATATCTTTGATTTTCTACATTAATTAAATTACACAGGATCTATATTAGAATCAACTGTAGTAACAAGACTTCATATAAAAATAAACTAAATAAAATTCCAATGGCTGAGAAATTATTGGGTAAAAGCTAACAAAAATATTTCACTGACTTAATTTTACTCATTATCTATCATCCCCTAGATTTTTTTTTTCCCCTTAGTGGAGAGGAGATACTACATCTATCCATGTTCCCAGTTAAAAAATGCTTATTGAATAAATAACGACTTATGTTCACTGTAGAAGAAACCGATCAAAGTTTAGTATCTAGGTGAACTGCAAGTTCCTTCCTGTTATGCATGCGGTATTCTCATTGTCATGCAATTACCAATATGAAAGCACGTAAATTATAAAATTATTTGAGTTACCTTGCCCTAGGATATATGGGAAATCCAGATAAACGTTCATATTACAAAAATACATATATTATAAATTACGCATACAGATGCATAAGAGAAAAATGATTACCTGTGCAGCATATGTCCGTTGGAAGGGACTCTTTTCTGTATTAAGCTGAGCAAGAAAGAATATGACGTCAAAATTCTGTTAAAGGCTAAAGAACAATCATGCTCTGGGAAAAAAATATGAGTTCAGTAAGCAAGTAGGGCATCACAGTTGAATAATGAGTTCATGTTCAACAGATATCAAATCAACATAACCAAAGTTTCTAAACCAATGCAAACATAATTTTCCAGGTAAAAATCAATACAAGAACAACAAAGACAAGCATAAGAAAATAGGAATCAAACAAATACACAGATAAAGCCAACATGAGGAAACAATAAAGTTGATCATAGATAATATCATGTGAAACTATTACAGATAGCATTTTCTAAAACTTCTTCCAACCTAATTAAGAAAAGCATGGTTACTCTAAGACTTTGAATAAACAACAATAACTACACTTCCTAACTATTTCAAGCTACCCAAATCCCTCAAGGCTCCTAATACAGAATGTGAATCACATAAGCAACAACGATTTCTTTTTTATTTCTCTCAGAAACAATTGATTCCTTTTGAGGCATTGTCTAGATGGCACGTCAAATCAACAGTGATGTATCTTAAGACATCAACACCTGATTTTTTTCCATTTTTTCTACTCACTGTACACAAGGGTTTTTGCTAGAAGAAATTTTTGATATAAACTCATTCATACTTTTTTTTTTAAATCGACTCACTCCTATTTTATTTACAAATATTGATCCACTTCGTGGCCACGTCAGCATCGTGGTCACGAAGTGGGCCGATTTTTTTTAAACGGGTTGCTAAATAGTCAGGGTTGCCAACCCCGACTATTTTGGACGCCTTTGATAATTTACAAGCTAAATTAGTCGGGGATAGAAAGCCCGACTAATTTAGCACACTTTCTAATTAGTCGGGGTTGGAAACCCCGACCAATTCGAAAGCCTTAGTTCGAAATGGTCCGGGTTTCCAACCCCGGCAATTTAGCAGAGACTTTCGTTAAGTTTCAAAAGAGTCGGGAATTGGCTAAGACAAAATAGTCGGGGAATTGGCTAAGTCTCAAAGTAGTCAGGGTTGCCAACCCCGACTACTTATACTGGGTCCCTCCCCCTATATAAACCACCCGACTACTTTCTCCCCAAAACTCATCTCTCCCAGCCTCCTCCCTCTTCTCTTCTGTCATTCTCTTGCACTAGTGGATCGGATCTCAATTTTCAACCTACTTTCTCGGCCGAAATCCGAATCAAAAGTTTATTCAATATCTCTAGGTAATTTCCTCTACTCCTCTTCTCTTTTAGCATGTAGAAATCTAGAGTTTTTTCTTAACACCGAATATCTAGGGTTTTCTCTCTAGGTGATTAGAATGATTTATATGATGATTGTTATTACTGAAATTAAATCTTTAGGGCTTAGAATGATTCTAGGTGGTTAGAATGCTTTATATGATTTTAGGGTTTAGGATTTTCAATTGGGGATTAGGGTTTTTTATCAAAATTATATGAGATTATTTGCATATATGGTTTTCCTCTCTTATTCGATGCTCTGATAATATTATTTAAATTTTTTACATTTAAATGATATAATCTTCTTTTGAATAGGTTGAACAATATGATTTTTATTGCTTGCTCTTATGGTTAAAAAATTAATTATGGAATGAATAATATGCCAACGTACGTCGGAGGGGTAACAACGCCGTTAATGATCTCGGAATCATATAGTTACTTTGACTTGGTTAATGAATTACACCGAGTGTTCACAGTATGGATATTGCAGACAACCGGGCCACAAAAGATCTCATTGTCCTACCAATCCAAATAGATAGCAATTAATGTGTACAATTTTTTAATTATTAATTATTAATTTTATTCCACTTCATTTATAAGTCGCATGCTTATTTACGAAATGTTAGTAATTTTATTCTACTTTTAATTTAGCATATGTTATAACACTGACACATTTTATCATCATATGTGCAGATATTTATAGTATGGAGGCGGGTCCATTGACACGTGAGGTCCTTTATGACCAAGATCGACACCGATCCGTGAAGGTAGACTCTGGGGAGGTAAATTGTATTTTTTTATTATTTTCATTTATAAATCAATTTTTTAAGATTTACTATAATTACTGAACATTTTGCACTGGTTAATATATGCAGGCCCCGAGTTTTACTATCGTTGATCATACTCGTGCACATTCAAGCTGGGATTTGACTGATCCGCAGGTTCAGTTTTATGTCTGTCAAGCAGGCTTCTTTGAGTGTTCACAAATTAAATGGGTGAGACTTGACTGCGCTCTCATAACACCACTGATTAAACGATGGAGGTCGAAGACAAATACATCCATCTGCGTCAAGAAGAATCGACGATTACATTGCAGGATATTGGGATTTTACTTAGCCTCAGAGTGGATGGAGATGTTGTCACGGGTAGTGATGACTTTAACTGGGTAAGGAAGTGTGAAGAATTGTTGGGCCAAGTTCCTCACATGAAGGGTAGTAAGATCAAGCTTGAATGGTTAAGAAATAATTTCATGAATGCACCAATCGATGCGACCGAGGAGATCATCAAGAGCTATGCCCGTGCATATATATTTCATATGATCGGTAATGTTCTATTTTCGGATTTCACTAAGGATTTGATGCACGTGAGATGGTTGCCACTCTTGGAGGATCTTGTGGAGTGTGGAGGGTTATCATGGGGGAGTGTCGTGTTAGCTTATCTCTATAGGGAGATGACCAAAGAGGCACTCATACAGAACAAAGAATTCAAGGGTTGTCTCACTTTATTGCAGATATGGTCATGGGAGAGATTACATTTGGGATGCCCAAATTTGAGGGAGACTCGTGGTCTCGATGGCCATATTCCGTTAGGATGCAAGTATTACTAAGTTATTTTATAATATATAATTACATATAATTTTATGCATTTATTTGAATCTATACTAACCTTTTCATTTATAAAATAGATGGAGTGTGTCAAGATCTTGGCAAACCTCACCAAAGGGCCATGAAAACTTCTACAGGAACAAACTTGATCAAATAGAGGATGAACAAGTATTAAATCATAATATCTAAATATATTCAATTAATACATCATTTGTTACTTATATGTAAATTTACTTAATATTTTTATAGGTCAAGTGGATGTCCTATGAACTAGCTTTGGAGTCACTACCAGATATTTGCAGGGAATGTGAGGATGTATAACGTGCTCACATCCCGATCATATATTTTGAGATTGTCGAGATGCACGTGTCCGACCGTGTACTCCAACAATTTGAACTACAGGAACATGTTCCGGACCTTGTGGAGAGAATAGAGCGAAATCCCAGAAAAGGTGCACATCATGCAAATTGAGAATTAATTCACCAAGCTTACATCCAGATGTGAGAGTTCAGGGAGGAACAAGTAGTGATGGAGAGGGCTGACGCACCTGACCTAGGTGTGTACTTATGATGGTATTGAGGGATTACTCGCTGATGGATATTTCGGGAGAACAAAGCCCCCAAGGAGTACATACCAAGAGGTCCAATTGAGAGAGAGTTGGTAAGTGTCTAGGCAAAATATATAATTATTTTGTGACTATTATTTTATTATCAGCCACTTGCTAATAATTCTCTTTTGCTTTTTATCTTATAGGTATAAGAGCTCGATGAGATTGCTAATATAGCACATGATGCATTGAGAATGGCTACCGAGCCGGGGGCAGAAACACATTCCTTCGCATCATAAAAAAGATTCAGTCCGTTCTGAAGATGGCGCATAATGCGACTTGATGGACGTGAGGAGTGCCTCATAGGGTACGCGCCTTGACGGTTCCGATGACACACGGGAGCAGGCTCAAGCCGTGCACATGATGAAGCTGACGGCTCACAATAAGCTCAAGCCGGATGTTCACAGCAGGTTCGAGTAGATAAGGATGTCATGTGCTCCCAACTTCACACACAATCGGACAGGATCTCATCCAAGCTCACATCGAAGGTGAACGGGGAAGGGGGAGAGGAAGAAGAGGGAGAGGGAGAGGGAAGGAAATTGTAAATATTTGTTAAGTTTCGATATTTGTTAAGTTTCGATATACTTGATAAGATGTTTGCTTTTGAAACTGAATGTTACGTATCCGATTGAGTATGGATTATTAGTAAGTGAATTGCATGGTATGTATTCGATTGATTATGGATTTTTAGTAAGTGAAATGAATGTTTGAGATTATGGATTGGTATGTGTGTTATTTTTGTTTGTGATTACATTGTGGATTGATAAATGTGTACCAAGATTTGGTGGATTGATATGTCTTAATAGGAGTATGATTTTTCAGCTAAATGTGGGCTAGAAGATTTATGTAAAATAGTCAAGGTTGAGAACCCCGACCATTTCGAACTAAGGCTTTCGAATTGGTCGGGGTTTCCAACTCCGACCAATTAGAAAGTGTGCTAAATTAGTCGGGGTTCCTAACCCAACTAATTTAGCTTGTAAATTACCCAATGCGTCCAAAATAGTCAAGGTTAACAATCCCGACTATTTAACAAGGTTTTAAATGTCGGATGTCGGGTTCATATCGGATGGCTGAAATCCATGTTGGATAGCGAAAATCAGGGATATATCGGAGGACATTGACTAAATATCGAATTGTCATATCGGGTAGTGCGCATATGTATAATATCATGTCCTAAATATAATCTAAGCATTCATAAATTCATATCATGTCCTAAATATAATCTAAGCATTCATAAATTCAATATAAGCATACTTTATAAATTCTATAGACTAAACATATTTATAAGTAAATAATATATGGATTTGGGTTCATAAATTCTTTCTATCGAGTTCATAAGAAACCTCTAAACATGAGAACGGGTCAAACAGGTTTAGGTATTTATCACTAAACCCAAACCCGATAACAAAAAACAGATCTTAAAGAAAAGTATCATATCGGTCGATTTTTCAAAGCTAAAAAATAGGTCGATATGCCCAATATGACCCTGATATTTCCGATTTGGCCCTAAAAACCGACATACGAGTTGAAAACGTCCATGTCGTGTCGGTCAAGCCCTCAAATCGATATGTCGGCCGACATGTCGGACATGTCGGCCGATATTTAAAACATAGCTATTTAGCAACGTGTTTAAAAAAATCGGCTCACTTCGTGGCCACGATGCTGACGTGACCACGAAGTGGGTCGATATTTGTAAATAAAACAGGAGTGGGTCGAATTTAAAAAATATATATATGAATGAGTTCATATCAAAATTTTCTTCGTTTTTGCTACAATAGGAGGTTTCAGAGTCAGATAAAAATAATTGTGATACAATGGGGACGTTGTTTAGTTATCAACTGAGGCCTATTACAGCTTGGACTTCTCATTATCAAAAAGAAGGCTCGGCAAAAGCACACAAGACCGAGATGAAACGAATAGTCCAAATCATAATAGTCCCCAGATGAATAAGATGTTATGGCAGTAAGGCCGTCAATTTATGTATTCTGCTATGATTTGATTTCATTTTTTCCCCCGCTTTATCCCAATATCTAATAGCTTAGTAGGGTACTTATTATGGTACCTAAAGTTTAAATCTCACTGAATTGTGTAAAAGTACTCTAAACCACACACTAGATCAAGCACATTAAAATGGGGAGAGAAGCTTTTCAATCTAAACATTATCCTTTTAGATAGTAAAAACTTACAACAAGGTAAAGCAAAACAAGACCCAAAAAAAAACCCCCTAATTTTCTTTACCAAACCCTAGGCATCCAATAATGTTACACAGATTAGAGCAGTAGGAACTAGGGAGCGGAAAATTGACCAGATTCAGCAACGGATTAGGCAAGACAACCAGGTCGAATCTAGGGTTCCATCGGAAACAGAAAGGGGAGGAGATTAAAAGAATACATCTTTGAACTGAAGGAGGCCGAGTTCGCCGAGGTAGGAGACGGTGAGGTGGGCGGACTCCATGGGGATGATGATCTGCACCAGCTGCTCGCCTCGGATCGCATCAGAATCATGCGACGGCAGCAGAGCCGCCGCCGCCTTGTTATTAGGCCGAGATTGTGATGGTCCCCCATCGCCTCGCCCCTTTCTCCCTCCTCCTCCTCGTCTCTCTTAGATGAAATCTCTTTTGTAGATTTCTTTGTTTTGGGATTCGCTAGCTCGAACAAGCCCCTATGGAGACGGGCCTGCTATTATCGGCGATACGATCTCAGCTCTGTTCTGTGTCCTTGAGACTGGTGATGATATGATGACGGGAACGGAGTCAGATTCTGGAAGATTTGAGGAACGGTCTGGCGCGCCCTTGAATTTACTGAGTTGGAATTTTCCTTCAACCACTCGCTTACGTCGTTTTGAGAGTCACCAGAGGCACCAACCACACCTCCCCTTTTGCTATAGTGCACCGGAGCCCACTTTAGATTTAAATTTTAAATCTCAAGTGGGCCCCGGTGCACTGTAGCAGGAGGGGAGGTATGGTTGGAGGTTTTAAATCTCAAGTGGGCTCCGGTGCACTGTAGCAGGAGGGGAGGTATGGTTGGAGGTGTGGTGAAGAGTGTGCCTCCATCATTTCTCCGTCGTTTTTCGAGCACAACCTGGCTTTCTTATATATATAGAGCAGGTGCGTTGCACGTGCACACGCTCGCATGTTCGAAATTTGTTCTGAACTACTTATTCAATAAATAATTAAGGAAAAATTGCTTCAAGGCCCCAAAATTGAAAATACAATGTGGCTCAGCCCCCTGTACTTTGACCCATGTGGCTAATCCCTTAAAGATTCAAAAAATATAACTGAGCCATAAAAACACTTCTCTCACCCGTATTTGCACCCAGCCTCCCTAAAATAACCCCGCCTTCAACTCCGTGCCTCAAAAACGAGATCCGATCGCTGGCGATCCCTACCCGTCGCATTTAAGGCGAGATGATGGCTGTTTTGGGGGGAAATTTTGGCGTGCTCCCTCCATTATATATCCTGTTAACCCACTCGGCTTTGAATAGAGTGTATTTATGGTGCAAAGGGCAGATCTTTGCGGTTAGGGCTTATGATCTTCAGCCCCCTACTTCTCCTAAAGTGCCCTTCATAACTCCTCTTAAATCCCATTTATTTATGGCGGAGAGCCCCCTTATTTGCATGGTTTCCTTGGGTGAGAGAACAGTGTTCTCAAGGGTAACTTGTGCAACCTCTTTTTTTGAGTTTAAGTTCGACGTGGCTGAGAGGTTGAAGGTTCCTTATGATACGCTATCAATGGTTTATAAATCTGAAAGGATCCCTGATCTGAGTTTTGAGATCGAGAATGAGGATGATATGGAGTGCATGGTGGAGCACAACCGTAATATCGGGTGTCTGGAGATCCATATTCGAGCTACTATAGATGTAGATGTTTCCAGATGTGAGAACACCCCGAAGCAACCTCCTGAAATGTAAGTTATATTTAGACTTAATTTATTTGAAAACTTATGAATTGCGTGAGTAAAATGTGGAGAAATGATAACATAGCGAATTATTTCAGGTTAAATGTTAGCTTTTAACTGATATATGTTAACTTTCTACCGAAGGTTGTTAAGCTTTAGGGCATATGTGTTAACTCTTAAGGGTACTGCATTATTTAAGTACAAGTCCTATTCGTTATTTTAAGAAAAACCAATTATATTTGTGCAGCATTATGAATACACTGAAGCCAAAGTTTATTGATAGTACTTCTGCCGCAAACCATGGTTCTGAAAGAATTCCAATTGATAATCCCAGTGGTAGCAGTGTAGTGCGTTCTGATGACATTATTAACAACACAGTAATGATTCCTGGTTGGTGGCATAATGCATTAACTGAAGAGGGTCAAGAATTTGAAAGTGCTGAAGAATTAAGGTTGGCGCTGACATACTATTCTCTGGCCAAAATGTTTGATTATGAGTTTAAAAAGAACGAACCAAAACGTATCCGTGTATATTGCCGATATAAAGAAACTTACGAGTGCCCATGGATGTTGTTTGCTTCACCTGTTAAGAATGCAAATAGACTATCGATCAAGAAGTTTGTTAATGAACATACTTGTGGGCAGTACGGGCAAAATACAGGTCGTTCAAGGGCATCCCGTAAATTCATTGCAACACAGTTACAACCACTCCTGAAGGTCCGTCCAGAAATCCGACCCGTTGATGTGCAAAAGGAGTTCCTCACAAACTACGGCCTTAGAATTGATTACAGTAAGATATGGTGGGGGAAAGAGAGAGCACAGGAGAAGCTTTACGGGGATATATATGAGTCGTATGATCAACTACGATGGTAAATGCTGAGCTTTATTGTTAACTTGTTAAGTTTCAAAGTTTGCTTGTTAAAACAAATAGTTAACATGTTCCTTGTTAAGTTCATTGATAACATTGATAACATGTTAAGTTTCACCACTAACATGTTAACTTTCTCTGTTACATTATTAAGTTACGCTGATAATTTATTAACTTTATTTGTTAACTTGTTAAGTTACCCTAATAATGTGTTAGCTTTTTTTGGTCGCTTGTTAAGCTACACGGATAACATGTTAACTTGTTGGTTTGTTTCTTCTTACACGACTAGGTATGAGCGCATGGTAAAAGAGACAAATCTCGGCAATTACATACATGTTGACCAGAATGAGGGGAGGTTTTCGAGACTCTTTGTTTGTTATGCTGCATGCATCAAAGGTTTCTTGAGTGGATGCAGACCCCTTCTATTTTTGGACGGTACATTTTTGAAGGATCGATATAAAGTTATTCTCCTCTCGGCCATAGCATACGATGGGAACCAAGGTATATTTCCCTTAGCGTATTGCATATGTGATCAAGAGAATTTGATGAATTGGAAGTGGTTCCTCCAAGGTCTATGGTCCATACTTTATGAGAGGGCTGACCCTTACAATCCTCCCCACCAATTGGTTATAATTTCTGATGCGGACAAAGGAATTAAAGAATCAGTAAAAGAGTATTTTCCAGAAGCTCTACACTCGAGGTGTGTTCTACATCTTGTTGAAAATTTCAGGTTAAAGCTTAAGGACTTGGGTATGAAGTCGAAGGACACTCATGTTCTGGGGAACTTACTCCAAAGTGCTTGTTATAAATACACAATAGCAGAATGGAATGAGTACATGAAAGAGATATATGACATGGATCCAAGGGCATACAACATTGCTATGAACTACTCTCCTGATCAATGGGCAAATGCATTCTTCCCGGGAATAAGGTAACATTATTTGGTTGTTCTATATCTATGTTAATGTATGAACTTATGCTATTTAGCATGTTATCTTTGGATTTGTTAAATTCTATATCAGAGTTGTTAACTATATCAGAGTTGATAACATGTTAAGTCTTGTTGATAATATGTTGAGTCTCGTGGCTAACATGTTAACTCTTGTGGATAACATGTCAACTCTTGTGGATAACATGTTAACTCTTGTGGATAAAATGTTAAATTTTTTTAATAACATGTTAACTCTTGTAGATAACATGTTAACTCTTGTAGAAAACATGTTAACTGTTAAATGTTAACTATTATATGTAAACATGTTAACTGTAATACAAAAAAATTAACTCTATTCAATTATTTGTGTCATCCCTTATTTATAACCTGTTAACTCTTATCTGTAAACTGTTAACTGTAATTCATATTATGTTAACCCTATTCAATTATTTGTTAACCCTTATTTGTGACCTGTTATAAAGTTATATATAATTTCAGGTATGGGCACGTAACATCTAATGTCGCTGAGTCTTTTAATAATTGGATAAGGGAAGCTAGAATGTTACGGATTCTACAAATGGTTAAGCATATTCGAAAACAGATAATGGTCCGAATGAGTAATCGCCGGTTACTTGGAGATAAATGGGCTGGATATCTCTGTCCACAAGCAGAGATGGTGCTTAAAGAAAATATAGAGAAAGGTCGTCCATTGGATGTTAAGCAAGCTACAGCTGACATATTTGAAGTGCAAGCACATAAAACTACACGTGTTGATTTGGAGAAGAAGACATGCACTTGCCGTGCTTGGGACGTCATGCGAATTCCGTGTAAACATGCATGTGCAGTCATCTCGTACATGAAGAGAGACATTTACCAATATTGCGATTGGTTTATGTCCATAGAAGCATTTAAAAAGAGCTATGACCCGATTCTCTATCCTATACCAGATTATGAGAAACGAAGCGTGCCAAGGGATGAGATCGAGCTACTTTCACCACATACTATCAAAAGAAAAGGGGAGAAATAAAACACGACGTATCAACAATCGAACAGTGTACAAACGACCTTTGAAATGCTCTCGATGCCACTCCGAAGGTCATAACCGCGCATCTTGCAATGAACCGATCGCCGATTGATATGAGTTGCGGATTTGCCGAAACACTTTTGGATGTATGTAATACTTTTGTAGTTAACTGTTTATATGAACTGAAACATATTTGGGTGTTTGTAATACTTTTGTAGTTATCGGTGTATATGAACTGAAATATGTTTGGGTGTTTGTAATACTTTTGTAGTTAATTGTGTATATGAACTGAAATATATCTATGCCAATGTGAATTATAATGAAAATGTTATCTTATTTGGGTCTGTAAAGTTACTCAGTTAGATTGTTAAGTTACAGTTAACATATAAAATTTTCTTGATAGGTTATTAAGCTACACCTATTATATGTTATCTTTTGTAAATAACATGTTGGGTAACATGTTAACTCTTGTGGTAAACATGTTAACTCTTATCGCTAATATGTTAACTCTTATGGCAAACATGTTAACTCTTGTTGCAAACATGTTAACTCTTATGGAAAATATGTTAATTCTTGTAGCAAACATGTTAACTCTTGTAGCAAACATGTTAACTCTTGTCGTAAACATGTTAATTTTTATGACAAACATGTTAACTTTTGTTACTAACATGTTAACTCTTGTGGATAACATGTTAACTTTTATAGGAAATATGTTAACTTTCTTTGATAACATGTTAACTCTTTGACATAACATGTTAATTCTCGTTAGTAACATGTTAACTATTGTTGATAACAAGTAAACTCTTGACGATAACATGTTAACCCTTGTTGATAACATGTTAACTCTTGATGATAAAATGTTAAATCTTGTTGTCATCATGTTGACTCTTGTAGTTACCGATGTACATGAACTGAAATATGTTTGGGTCTTTATAATATTTTTATAGTTAACTATGTACATGAACTGAAATATATCTATGCCAATGTGAATTATAATAAAAATGTTATCTTACTTGATCTGTAAAGTTACTCAGTTAGATTGTTAAGTTACAGTTAACATATAAAATATTTTTATAAGGTTATTAAGATATACCTATTAAATGTTAA